TGACAATATACTGTTGGTCAATGTCCCGGAGTGAAGTAGTGCATGAATCTTAAAGAAAGAGAGAGCCAGTTCTAGATAAATTTGAAGCAGCTCACCAGAGAGATTGTAGAGGCCGCTGGTCGATCTAGGCAAGTGGGTTGTTTCACGCGCACGATTCGTCAATTACTTTCCTTACTTATTACACAATTGGAAATTCTCGACATATTGACCATCGGAAGTGCTTCCGTAATGTTTATGGTAAGGTCTCGCCGAAGTTCACCTCGATGTTCATGTCCGCCATGGCTGTCAAATTCCTGGAAAGCTATGCGTACCGACTGCGCATATCGCACGTGGATCAATCAGCCTATTACCCCTGTACTGTGGGAGGTCTGATGCATCTTAGCACCTGCAGCCCGATACATGTCCCTGATTCAATAGAACTTCTCAAAAACGTATCACGCGGGGGCAAGACAAGCTCATCCCAGGAGAACACGAATCAGACGTCAGACAGTTTGTGGGTGCACATATCTGGAAAGTCAGATTAAGTGTAAGTATTGGTGTGAAGCAAAAATGGCAACCATCCCCGAGCTACCCCGAATTCACCCCAACCATGACGATAAGCATTTGGTCTAGATCGGGGACTTTGAGCTCCTTGTCCAAAACAGGAGCTTCAAGACGCTTAATTCAGGTGCAGAAGGGTCCAAAAGTCCAGCGCAAGCATTTCCTGAGTGCTGTTGCTATCCCGATTTCGGGTGACGGAGCAACCCGAGGCAGGAAAGTCCAGATCTTTCAAGACTGACGGAACCTATTCCGATAGATTATTTCACATAAGCTCACGAGCTCTCCATTGCAGCAGCTTTTTTTCACATCAAGTGTTCCTCTTCAACTCCTCCCAAGACTATTCCATGTTGAGCTGGTGCAATCTATCCTCAAAGCACACCCGACCAAGATAATCTTAGTCTTACCAATCTTCAGAATGGCAAACCGCGGCGCAACATGGGACCCCGATGTCCATACCATCCGTGATCTGATGGAGCTGGGCAGCAAGAAGCTTCCCAAGATGTACAGAGATTACTATAACGAGGGCGCAATGGATCTCGTAACGTCAGTTGTCCGAAGTCAGCTCCAGAGTATCCGAGAAATCACTAACATTCGACACTATACAGACTGAAGGATAACGAGGAAGCATACAACCGATACAAGATCATGCCACGGATTCTCGTCAATGTCGACAACATCGACATGTCTACCTCGATCTTTGGAGCTAAGGTATGTAGGTCGCATGGCCGAAAATTCTATTTTCTAGAAAACTATTTACATATTCCCGATAGGTTTCATTTCCCTTGGGCTTCAGCCCGGCTGCGATGCACAAGATGGCTCACCCAGATGGCGAGCTCGGAACGTCGCGTGCTGCAGCAAAGATGAATGTTTGCATGGCCCTTTCTTCCTATGCCACCGAGTCGATGGAAAATGTGGCTGCCGAAGGCGCTGGAAACCCATATGTCATGCAGCTCTGTGTGCTCAGAGACCGAGAGACCACTCTGCAAATTCTGAAGAGGGCTGAAGGTAGGCAAATCATATGTCCTACAAGCATGAAGTCAAGATGCTAAGAAGTTGGACAGCCTCTGGATACAAGGCCATCTTCCTGTCTGTCGATACCCCGCTGCTAGGCCGCCGCTTGAACGAGTACCGAAACAACTTCTGTCTACCCGATGGCATCGAGTGGCCCAACCTCTTGTCCGATGGAAAGAGCGAATTGAGCGGTAACGAGAAGGACGGCCAGTCGTCAAACAGACATGACTTTGGTACGTCACTGAGCATCTGCATCCTTATCGAATACATGACTGAGGAAGAAATTGTAGACCCTTCGCTTGACTGGGATTCTGCGATTCCGTGGCTCAAGAAGCACACCAAGCTCCAGCTGTGGCTCAAGGGTGGTAAGTTGATGTAACACTCGCACCTGCCATGAAGTCGAACTGACTGGCGTGTTTTCTCTTCTAGTCTACACTCCCGACGACGTAGCTCTCGCAATTAGACACGGCCTCAACGGTGTCATCATCTCGAACCACGGTGGCAGACAGCTGGATGGTGTACCTGCCACGCTGGATGCTCTGCGCATCTGTGCACCGGTGGCAGCGGGAAAGATTCCTATCGCTGTTGATGGCGGTATACGCCGCGGTACTGATATCTTCAAGGCGCTTGCCCTTGGCGCCTCACATTGCTTTGTGGGAAGAATCCCCATTTGGGGCCTGGCAGTACGTCGAGACACGATTGACTGAGATGATTATCGACACAATAGCTGATAAGCATGATAGTACAATGGGCAAGAGGGCGTTGAGCTGGCGCTTAAGATCCTCCAGTACGAGCTCAAGGTCGCCATGGCTCTTGCAGGGTAAGTCCCAAGCTTCTGACTGAAGGCCCTAGCCACAACTAATTAAATTTGCAACAGAACCCGAACCATTGCTGAAATCTCGAGGGGTCATGTGGCATATCTAAACGGTAGTGGTGTTTTGTCGAAGCTCTAGGTGACAAATGTGTATTTTGATAGCATTTGCATAGCGAATTATCATTTTCTCAGACTGATGATCGCCAATGAAACTTTGTACGAGTGTTAGGTTTTCTCCTGTCAAGATGTGGAAGAAATCTCCAATAAATGACCAAAGATGCACGAAATGTGATATGTATTGAAACCAAAACTAATACTACTAGATCTTTGGCATTATTAGCTACTACGGAGCGCCGAGCCTGGGTCATTAAACGACATTGTCTCCAAGGGCTTCTGATCCGCACCGCAAACCATGGCTGCGGCTACATGCGAATAATTGAAGTGTACTTTGGCCGGTGTGCCCATCAAATGTAATCAAGCCCTTCTTCGCCCGACTTCGCCTCCCAGTCTAGAGCTGCAAGCGCCACGCAGCCTCGCAAAAAGACCTTGATTCTCACGAGACCCCAGCCTGATTGACGAAGCTCGTGTGTCTTCGAATGCGTTACTACCTCCAGAACCTTACGTACTGGTATCAAGATAACCCCGATAATGATTGTCCCTTTCCAGTGCAGAATGACTGTCCCTTTTCGGTCATGGTGTTACCATATCACTGTTTCCGCGCCACGCAGCGCCATAGTCAGGCCAAGCCGGGCCTCCTAAAGGAAGGCTTCCGCGACGGGATCCACTTTGCCGCCCGGACCTACCCCGCGATATCTCGATCGAGATAGCGATTCTGGATACTTTCACCATGGGGCACTATGGGTCCCCGGGACCGGAGCTGACCCCGTGGTGCCGTCCTCTTTCGTTCGATTCGACTTTACCCCGCCATCCTCACACCCCTTTTCCAGAGCCGTTGTGAGGGGCGGAGGTGACAGAAGAGGCAGGCTTGCTCAAATTGGTTATACTTTGAGTTATCGGGTGCGCTTCCGGTCTTGTTTGTGCTGTAATAGAGAAGGTTTGCGCGTGTACCGATCCGCAATGTACGAAGCAAGAGATGCCGGGTTGTGTTTGTAATCTTTGACATGCTGGAATTAGACAAACACCCGAAGAAGCTGGTAGCTATATGACGTTGGCATCCGAAGCTCAGCGAACTCTGGTTATTTACATTGCAGTATCATTACTCCTAAAACCAGCTCCGTCATATTCCAGCAGAATCTGTCTTGCAGGTCATTACACAACAACATTAATTGCTTTAAGCCCTCAAATCACTCAAACAGCCCGAACAACACGTCCAAAATGCCCGCCAGCGACCTCAAAGGCGTCCTCGTCGCCCTAATCACCCCCTTCACCCCCGACCAAAAAGAAATCGACACCGCCGCCCTCGATGCACACATCCAACGCATGATCGCCGCAGGCGTCCACGGCCTCGTCCCCGGTGGTAGCACGGGTGAATTCACAGCCCTCACCACCGAAGAGCGCAAAATCCTCGTCAAGCAGTCCGTCGACTCTGCTGCCGGCCGTGTCCCTGTCGTCGCGGGCATCGGCGACCTTTCTACCGCAAAGGCCGTCGAGCACGCCATCTACGCCGCTTCAGTCGGCGCCAGCGCGCTGATGGTTGTCCCCCCATTTTACGATGCGCCCAACCTGGCGCAGTTGAAGGAGCTGCTCAAGGAAATTCACGACGAGTCCAAGTTGCCGATCATGTACTACAACATTCCCTCCGCTAGCGGCGTTTCGCTCTCCCCAGAGGAGATTGCTTCGCTTTCCGAAGTTGGTGTCACGCATCTCAAGGATACTTCGGGCAACGCGCCCGCCCTCACAGACATGCTCTTCACCGAAGCCACCTATTCCAAGGTCACCGCCTTCAACGGCTGGGACACTCTCACATTCTATGGCCTGGCCGCGGGCGCAAAGGGCTCCGTTTGGGGTGCAACAAACATCATCCCCGAGCTGTCGTCGCAGCTGTGGGAGGCGCTGGGGGAGAAGAAGGATCTGGCCAGGGGCCGAGAGCTGTGGGCCAAGATCTTCCCGATCTGCAAGTTCCTCGAGGCACCTGGGGACAACTACGGCGCGGCTGTGAAGACAGGCATGGAGTTGCGCGGGTGGAAGACGGGAGGTATGCGCAAGCCGTTTAAGCTGCTTGAGGGCGAGAGGCGCAAGGAGCTTGCGCAATTGTTGAAGGATGCGGGCGTTGAGGTTGTTGCGTAGAGTGCTCTGCTATTAATGAATTGGAGTAAAAGATTGATCAATGCTCAGATTAGTCTTAACGGCTACTTTGTACGATGTCCCTGGTGCCATCGCAGATGTCAACAAGCTTCAGATGTGGTCCCTTTGAGCCACAGAAAATGGTACGCTGGAACTACCATCAGTTCTCTCTGAATAGATATTTCGACGCAGCTTCATGATGCAGCTCTTTGGTAAATGCTACCGACACGCTGGCTCGTATTGAAGGCAGAGGAATTGTTGGTCGATGTGCGAGCTCGCGTAGCTTTCTTGAGGAAAGTCAGGTCTTTGATTTCTGAACACAGAAGAGCTTCACGCGCTATAGTTGTACATCGTTGATTGTCTACATCATGAAGTCTTCTGATCTAGACATTCATCTCGAAATAGTCTTCATCATGTCCGGCCAGCTCAAGGTCCAATCACCGGTCTCCGTCCTCTTGTCCCATACACTTTGGGCCAAAACACTGGGCTTATCTGTACCAAATATCACGCCGCTACTATCAATTTTCTGAAGCACTTTGAGGCCCCTCTCTTGTAAATCAGGCGTTGTAGCCTCGCACGCAGCAATGAAAGCTGCCCACCCGATGCTCGTCGCAAAGTCGTGATCGTCTGCTGTCTCTTCGAGGCACGGCTGAATGAAATCTAGCGTCTTACGCACAGAGTCCTGAATCACCATGGCGCTCATGTTGTAGACGCGGCGGTAAAAGTAGATGATAAGTGCCTGATGCATGGCAAGCGTCAGAGATCGGATGAGGGGATGGTCTACGAGCTTCGTCTCCTGGGTGACAAGTTCCCGCGGACGGCTCGGCCCACTTTGCATATCCGACGATCCCATTGACCAGGACCAGATGTTCTGCTCCAATTGTTTGATATGGCGCGACATGGCCATGGAGATGCGGTGGTCGTACATGGCCATTGCTTCCAGCTTGGTCTTCTCATTAGCGAAGCTAATGGTCTGCGACAGCAGCGTCATCAATGACTCTGGCACACCATAGATCTCTGGGTACATCGTCACAGGCCAGTGGCCAGAAACATCGAGATGAATGTCCGCGTAGCCCACCTCTGCAGGCTTCTCCCGTGACAAATCGAGGTCGGCACCGAGAGAATCTTCTGCGATACGGAACTTGCGGAGCGACACCGCCATCTCGGTTGCCGCCTGCGCTTGGGATTTTGCAGATTCTATGGCAATATCTGTACTCTCTGCAATGACGCGGAGGTGTGTGTAGACATGATGTAGTACACGGATGTTGAAGGATTTGGGCATCGCAAGGCCACGCAGACGGATTAGGCGTTCGGCGTCGAGGAGGAAGATCTTTACTGCGCGGGATCCATTATAGAGAACCTGAATGGCATTAGAAGAGTCAATTGGAGGCTCTGGTTTTGGGATGAACTTACCGATACCATGGCTGTGGCAAGAATGGCCATAAGGATCTCGTTGTATTTGGCCTGACTTGGCTCATCAGATTCTCCTCGTAAGGCCATTTTGAGATGTGTCTGGGCACTCTTTTGATAGTTCTGTCCAATATCTAGCCACTGTGTTGTTGACTTCTGGCTTTCTTTTTTTGAAGACTGATGCATATGAAAGGCACTCTTTGCTAGCAGTGTACACAGGATACTGTGACGGGTATGCGAAGTGGTGTTCCAAAGCGACAGCTCGGCAAAGGTTTCCAGAGCGCAAGGGAGGAGCCAGAGCTGCCACGGTGATATTCTCATACCCTTAACCGACGATGACGATTCCATAGTCTTGTAGTATCGTAAGAGGGAAGCTGCATGTGACGGCAAGCATGGTTCGATACCCGGCATGTTGTTAGTTAAGGGGGTAGGAAGCTTGTGCGAAATCGGTAGGGTTTGCTCGTCTGTCGAAGGACTGGTCGGATCTTCTATATGATTTTCCTCCCTGTCATGGTTCTGACGTTGGGTATTTGTATCATCAGCTGGCCCAAGCTCGGTTTGAGCCATTGCTGGCGTGCGCGGCGATAATGGCGAGAAGAGAAGATCTAGTGCAGAGTTGTCCATTGCCATCATATGAGACAGACTTCCCGACCCTTCGCCGTGCATCCACGGCTGGCCCATGTTGTTTATCATGCCTTCAGTGCTAAAGTTGTCAAACGGTCCAGGTAAGAAATATGGCTCCAGAGCTAAGGAGCTATCGTCAACGGACCAAGGCTCGATAACAACATCCTCGATATCTTCATCGAGCTCGCCGTCCATCGTCTCTGGTAAGGCATCAGACGGCGAGGTGTTAGGCGAGCTCCCAGAAACAGAGGGTTGCAACGGCGAAGATGCAGAATCCGTAGAGCCATCAAAGGCCCTGAACACGCCAAACGGACCAGCTACGTGCGCATCGTCGGCATGGACGCTTTTCTCGTCGAGATCCAGAACAATGTCGCCGGCAGACTGGCGCCCCATGCTCGTCACAATCTCGACACTCATTGTCTTCCTCTCTTCCTCGGTGAAAAGCGGGTACCGGTAGGAAGTGCCGCGATGAGCGTGCTTCTGCTCGGCGGAGCACAGGGGGTCCGGAACCCACAGGAGCTGGCCATCGTAGCCCTCACAGACGAGATTGAGGCGGCGGCAGGACGAGCATACTGGGCGGGCCTCGTCACACTTGAGATGACGACTTCTGCAGGTGCGACAGCCTGTGAACGTTCTTGAGCGAGGGACCTTCTTTGTTGGGGCAGCGCTGCTGCTGGTGGTTCTCGTTTTCGCCGTTGACTTTCCTTTCGGGGGAGGCGGCTTTACCCCGGATTTGGACCCTCTGGTGACCGGACGGGCAGGCATCCTCGAGTGTGCGACAAGGTATCGAAGAGCAAGGCCGATGATGAAGCTGTTTGATTGGATTTGGCACGTAGGAGATGATTGTAATAGGAGGGGAGTAACACATCAGGCTTGTGTTCCCGATGGGCCGATTTTCTCGTGCTCTTGCGTGACTTAAAGAGAAGTCGACGAGAGACACGAGGCAAATTGACCATTACGTATGCATCGATATCGGCGAACTAGCTTCGGTCAGCTGGGCGATAGGGATGTTGTTCATCATGCATGGACAGTTCGGCGTCGTTGTCCGTAGATGCCAAGTGTAGTCAATCTTTGTTTCTGCCAAAATCATCTGGGAAGGTTTCCGCGACGTGAATCGGTACGTATCGGCGCTAACGGGGTGGAGACTCCAGAGCCGATTGTAGGCCGGACCATCCCGCTACCTAGGATGATGCCGGATCGGTCAAGTCACTAATATGAATCTTCAGTTTTAGTTGTGGCTTTACCTCTCCAATATTCGCAGACATTTTCTGGTCGGAAGGTAAGAGATGGGGATCTGACTGTCATGTAACTGGATGTATTCTGCTGTCTGAACATTGTGATGGGAATGCCTTCGCGAGAACTTAGGTGGTCCGTGGCACATGCGTGTAAGTCGAGTGTAAGACCTGTACCTCGGAATAAGACTAAGTATTTTATCATCAATCTTCCGTCTCCAAAACTTTGACAGTACATGCGAAATAACTTGTACAAACTCGTAATGGCATTCAGGCACCCTAAATCACTCACACTGACCGCTGCAGTCCGACGGTGGCCTCGAGTCGTCGCTGGCGTGCGACCATTCTCGGCTACGTCAAGCGACCGCGCAGCTGCCATCTTCTCGAACGAGCCTTCCAGGCCAAAGCTCGTGACATCTTCACTTCCCGGACCTAGAGTGAAAGATGGTCTTGCGGACTTGGAGGAAGTTTTTGATACCAGGAGTGCGAACACTTTGGTAGACTACGAGAAGTCGACGGGTAACTAGTGAGTTGAATTACCATATCGCACGACTTGTCTACGTATCTATTGATGCTGATGTACATCTGCAGTCTTGTTGATGCCGATGGCAACACATTCCTAGATGTGTATGTGTTGCGACGATCCTCATTGTCATGTGTAGACCAGTACGAGACTAACGAACGACGTCTGATTGATGCATAGATTTGCTCAAATCGCCTCCATTCCGCTGGGATACAATAACCCTGAACTCAACCGTGCCTCTGTAAGCCCAGCCATGGTCCGCGCCATCGCCAGCCGGCCAGCACTTGGAAGTTTTCCATCAACAGACTATGCAGACCTCCTCAAGACCGGTATCCTAAAAGCCGCTCCGCAAGGCCTAAATCAAGTCTTCACGGCTACCACTGGATCGGACGCAAACGAGACAGCGTACAAAGCCGCTTGCATCTGGAAGGGGACTCGGGACCGCGGCGGTAGGGATTTCAGCGCTGCTGAGCTGGAGTCCGTCATGCGGAACCAGGAGCCTGGTGCGAAAAAGTATTCGATAATGTCATTTTCAAAGGGGTTTCACGGCCGTCTTTTTGGAAGTTTGTCCACGACGAGGAGCAAGCCAATTCACAAGCTCGATGTGCCGGCTTTCGACTGGCCTGTGGCGCCTTTTTCGCAGCTCAAGCACCCCCTCGACCAATTCGCATCTGAGAATGCTGCCGAGGAGAAGCGGTGCCTTGAGGAAACGGAGCGTGTGCTGGACGAGGCCAACGGCACAGTCGCAGCAGTGGTCATCGAACCTGTTCAAGCTGAGGGCGGCGACAATCACGCGTCCCCCGCCTTCTTTCGTGGTCTTCGAGAGCTTACCAAGCGTAAGGGTGTGTTAATGATTGTCGATGAGGTTCAAACAGGCGTAGGGGCAACAGGCAAATTTTGGGCCCACGAGCACTGGAACCTCCCTTCTCCGCCAGACATGGTCACCTTCTCAAAGAAGGCACAAGCGGCGGGTTTCTACTTTGGCGACGCTGACCTGCGACCTGACAAGCCGTATCGCCAGTTCAATACTTGGATGGGCGACCCCGTGCGTGCACTGTTGTTCAAGGCGATTTACGGAGAGATTGAGAAGCACGGGTTGGTTGAGCATACGGCACGGGTTGGTGGGTACCTGTACCGGGAGCTGGAGGGGCTGGCGGACAAGTACCCGCAGCACGTATTGAACCTTCGTGGCAAGGATCGCGGGACGTTTATTGCGTGGGATTGTCCGCGGAGAGAAGAGGTGCTAGCCTTGGCTAAGTCGAGAGGGGTAAACATGGGCGGCAGCGGCGATGCTGCTATCCGACTACGACCGATGCTGGTGTTTGAGAAGCATCATGGTAAGTTAATGCCCAAGGAACCGATTGTTCGTGTACGAATGGAGACTGACAATCGCTTCACAGCCGATATTTTCCTGGACGTGTTGGAAGGGGTATTCAAGCGGCTATCGTAGGCTCAAGGATCGTGAGGGCCATGCTCTCAGCAAGGATGAAACGATTGATCTATAAGCAAGATTCACGAAGGACCGTTCTCGAAGATAGAATCATACATAAGCGCGCCCTTCGGTGGGTCGTCTGGAATTGACATGTAAAGATAGCATCGCCAATTGGCACTTGGTGTCGACAATGAGAAAAGTTGGAGTGACGCCATGGAGTAGCGCATTGTGTAATTCGTGGGGCAGCTTGGCAGCTTCACAGCTCTCGTCGACAGAGATTGGTAATCTGCTCCAAGCTTCAACCCCTGTTTGGAAGGCCAGCGCGAGCAGGTTATGTACAGTTTATATACTTCCATGCGATGCCACCTCAATGTCTCAAAGTACGAAAGACCAGTTCTAAGTTTTCACTCATCCCCAGTTATCAACTGAGAAAGATTTCAGCGCAGAGAATAGCAAATTCAGGCACAATGGTCAATATCTTCCTGTAAGTCAACTGAAGCTCAGTGACAATAAGCGCGTGTAAGTGCTCCGTGCTCACAGAAAGCCTTCAGGACTGGAGCGACGGGCTACATCGGGGGCAGCGTCCTCTCGTTGCTCGCCAAGTCGCACCCCGAGTACGCTGTGAGAGCGTTAGTGCGCGACAGCGCCAAGGGAAAGATTATCACCGGCGCCTTCAGCAAGGTCGAGATCGTCGAGGGTGATCTTGACGATGTTGAGACCATCACTCGGGAAGCCTCTAAAGCCGATGTCGTTGTCCGTATGTTTTGGCTCTTCCACAAAGTGGCCTCGCGAGCTGGAATCACTAACACCATTGCCAGATCTGGCTGCGTCTGGACACTTGAAGAGCGTTGAGACCATTCACAAGGCCTTGTCGTCCAAGTCGGCAGAGCAAAAGCCCTGTAAGTCTGCGCAGCAATTTTCCTTACCAGTTCACACTCGGGAATCACGATCAATGATGCTAAGTTCTTAACGCAGCGCACTGGATCCAGATCTCTGGCGCTAGCGCACTTGCCGCAGCAGAACTCGCCGACAAGTCTCGTAGCCCAGGCTCAGCGAGCGATCTTGTCTTCAACGACCTAACCAGCATCGATGACCTACGGTCCTTCATCCAGAAATATCCAAGCCGCGCTGTCGACAACTACCTCCTCAAAGTCGCCGCCGATGAACCCAAAGTCAACACGGCACTGGTGTTCCCGCCCATCATCTACGGTCGTGGGATCGGCCCTGTGAACCAGCGCAGCGTGCAGATCCCGTCGCTGGCGAAAGCCACGCTGGATCGCGGTCGCGGAGTGCAGGTCGGCAAGGGCCTGAGCCGCTGGGGAAATGTGCATGTTGAGGACATTGCTCAGTTGATTGCCCGGCTCGTTGAGCGAGCTGCGGAGGCGAAGGGCGAGGAGGAGGTTTGGAACGAGAATGGACTGTATCTCACTGGTGTTGGTGAAATGGTGAGTGAAGAAGATTCTGGGCCCCTCAACTCCTTGCTTTGCACTAGCTAACAGAAATGATCCACAGTCGTTTGGGGAAATCTCAAAATTGGTTGCCTCCGCTGCAGCTAAGAAGGGTCTCATTTCAAAAGACGAGGTGGAGGAAGTTGGACCCGAAGAAGCGAACAAGGTGCTGCCACACGGAACGGTGCTCTTTGGAACGAATGCTCGCAGCGAGGCACTCAGGGCTAAGAAGGTACTGGGTTGGGCGCCGACAGGCGAGAGTTTGGAGGAAGAGATCCCCAAAGCTGTGTCTTGGGAAGCTCCCGAGGTTCAGCACAGTGAGCTTAAGCGATGAGCAATCGATTCGTGGTCATAGACGGCGGTACGTAAATCAAGAATAACACAAAATTCACATCTCAATACAATGTCAAAGCCGGACCATCAAGTCAAAATTGGATGGAATGCCTCATATGCTACCGATTCAAAGAGAACTATTCACCGTCAGGCTTCGATCCTTTTCGTCAAGCCGGACTTCACTCGGTAACTCAATGCTCCAGTGAGGCTAATCTAGTTAGAAGACCAATTGAGCTTCAATTGGAGGATGAGTGCCTAAATCAGGGAGCAAGCTCACTGAATCGCAAGGTGGTGGTGGAGACTTAGCCCCTCATTCTCCATCTTCTCTCCTGAGACTCGCTGCTGTCCCTCGTCAAATTCTATGAGGAAGGCCTCCCCGATCATTCTGAACTTCGCTGCTCAGCCATGATCAATTCCAAGTAAAATCCAAAAGAGCCAAGCATGTCATATTGGTACGAAAATCTCAGTCGCTTCGTAGATCCAAAAAGACGAAAGTCTCGGAGGCTCAATCCGGGAGGCCACCCGATGAATGTCCTTGGGACCGCTGTCTCCTTTCAGTTATCCCCCACTGCGGGGGAGGGGTAAGTTAGACCCCGCCTGGCAGGCTACGCCGATACTGAACAGATACAGCGTCACAGGCGGATTGAAGCTGTTCGCGTGTCCAGGCCGAATTCGCAGGCGTTTATCAGATGATGGTTCGGATTGATAACCTATCTCATGAAACCTGACTGTTTACTCAATTGATTTTGGAAACGCTTTCTTGAACATTAAAGCTCATCCAAACTTCAAGAAACCTGGTTAATGCAAGCTGGCCCTCATCACCATCTCAAGCCTACTAACCGAACTTCCGAGAGAATTTTCTTCAGTCCCATTCACGTTTTGACAACAACATGGGAGATCTCTCCATTGAGTTGACTGCGCCTAACGGCCAGAAGTGGACTCAGCCAACCGGCCTCTTCATTAACAACGAATTCGTTCCCTCATCCTCCGGACAAACCATTCCTGCTATTGACCCAGCGTAAGCAATAGGCTTCAGATGGTTCACTATGCTTCAAGTAAGATGAGTTACTAACGTCTCGCGGGTATTCAGCACCGAAGAAGAGATCGCGAGAGTTCATGCAGCCACCGAGGACGATGTCGACAAGGCTGTCAAGGCCGCCGCTGCGGCACTGAAGAGTCCCTCGTGGAAGGAGCTATCGGCTTCAGATAGAGGCATCCTCATGGGCCGTCTTGCCGACCTCATGGAGTCGAATAAAGAATTGCTCGCAACCATCGACGCCTGGGACAACGGTAAGAAATCCCCAAATCTTCAACCAGACCTCAATACAACACCCGGTTCTGACGACATACCCACGCAGGCAAGACATACCAAGAGGCATTGACAAACGACATGGTCGAAGCTGTCGGAGTTATCCGCTACTACAGCGGCTGGTGCGACAAAATCTTTGGCCAGACGATCAGCCTGCCAAACAAGTTCGCCTACACCGTCCGCCAGCCCGTGGGGGTTGTAGGTCAAATCATTCCGTGGAACTATCCCATCTCAATGGCAACGTAAGAGGCTTTCTGCAATAGTGGACTGAGTTGCATTTTGCTGACCCGTCAACCACGAAACAGATGGAAGCTCGGCCCCGCGCTAGCCTGCGGAAATACCGTTGTTCTGAAGGCCGCTGAACAGACTCCCCTTAGCATCCTGGTCTTCGGTCGCCTCATCAAGGAAGCCGGCTTCCCGCCAGGCGTCGTGAACTTCATCAATGGTCTGGGTAAAGATGCTGGCGCAGCCCTCGTCTCCCATCCCTTGGTCGATAAAGTCGCGTTTACGGGATCAACGGCGACCGCAACCAATATTATGAAGATGGCTTCTGCAACACTGAAGAACATCACCCTCGAGACGGGCGGGAAATCGCCGCTGTTGGTCTTCAATGATGCGGATCTTGAGCAGGCTGTTCGGTGGTCACACATGGGCATCATGTCCAACCAAGGGCAAATCTGCACAGCCACGTCGCGGATCCTCGTGCAGCAGGATATTTACGATACCTTTGTCGCGAAATTCATCGATGAGGTCCACAAGACAAGCAAAGTCGGCAACCAGTGGGATGCCGAAACCTACCAGGGTCCGCAAGTCTCGAAGCAGCAATACGACCGCATCATGTCCTACTTCCAGGTCGGCCGTGACGAAGGCGCTACAATCAAGACTGGCGGCGAGAGGCCGGCACATCTGGGCGACAAGGGGTACTATGTCGCGCCAACAGTCTTCACGGACGTCAAGAGCGACATGAAGATTTGGCGCGAAGAAATCTTCGGCCCTGTGGTCGTGATCCAAAAGTTTGGCGACGAGGCCGAGGCGGTATCAATTGCCAATGACAGCGTTTATGGCCTTGGCGCAGCAGTCTTCACGACCAACTTGGAAAAGGCCCATCGCGTGGCTGCTGAGATCGAGGCGGGTATGGTTTGGGTGAATAGCACACAGGACTGTGATCCAAGGGTTCCCTTTGGCGGCGTGAAGCAGAGCGGCATCGGGCGGGAGCTTGGTGAGGCGGGGCTTGAGGCGTACAGCCAGATTAAGGCGGTTCATGTGAACATGGGCAACAAGCTCTAGATAAGAAGTATCATCGCATTCAAATGCTTCGGCAGACACCGCATCTACACCCGTGGGATTTTCAAGGAAGATGACGCGATTCAGAAGGGGTCTTTACCCAGTTACTTTAGTAATAATCCCCGCATAATCTCTCCCTCAACAGTGATCCCTTACGTAAACAATCTTACCGATCTCCGAGCGCGGTCATCGGTCTTCCGCCTACGTAGCTAGAGATAAATGAGCAATGACTGAATCGCGGGGTCCCAGCGCTGCCCCTCGCTGTTCTGGCGTTTTGATAAACGGTTTTCAACACTGAACAAGCATGCTCACTAGAAGTCGCAGCCCTGCCACATCAGTGATCTATAGAAGGCCCTCTACAGCATTCATAACTCCCTCGACTTGCGTCAGAAGGTTTAGCCAGGGCTTTCCAATGGCTCAAGATGGCGAGCGCGCCGCTGATGGTGAGTCGTGAGCACGAGTGAGCCAGTACCTCACAGAATCGAATGCCTCTTGAGCTACTCTTTTCTGACTCAGTCCAGGCAAACCCGTCAACTTTGGCCTCGTACTCTTCCCAGCCTTCCAGTCTCTCGACGTCTTCGGGCCCCTGGACGCCCTCAACATGCTATCAGGCTCATACAAAATGAACCTCTACATCATTGCAGATACCCTAGACCCGGTGCCAACAAGGGTCAAGGACGCCAGTCACATCTCAAACTTCTGCGAGAGCGTCGTCCCAACACATACCTTTCAGACCGCTCCGTCGCTTGACGTCCTCATCGTTCCCGGCGGGCAGGGGACTCGGAACCCGGGCATCAGCACCGCAATCGACTTTGTTAAGGAGCGCTTCGACTCGCTACAGTACCTGCTGACAGTCTGCACCGGCGCCGGAGTCGCGGCACGGGCGGGCGTGCTAGATGGGCGGAGGGCGACGACGAATAAGCTCTCGTGGGACCAGACGATTGCGCTGCGGCCGCAGGTTAAGTGGATTCACAAGGCAAGGTGGGTGCAGGATGGGAATGTGTGGACGTCTTCGGGCATTAGTGCAGGCATCGATCTGGCATTTGCGTGGATCGGAGCCGTGTATGGGAAGGATGTTGCGAAGAATATCGCCAACAGAATGGAGTATACGCCTGTTGAGGACCCAAGCTGGGATCCATTTGCTGACTTGTGGGGGTCATCAAAGTAAGGTGTACAGATATGGGTGGTGTTCATAGCTGGGTATTGTGCAGGCCATTTTCAACGCCTCTGATCTCTAGATGTCCTTGATTGTTTTCTCCGCGTGATTGACGCTGTGTCCATAATCGTCCCGAAGGCCAGTCAAAACCTGGATGATTTACTCAATTGAGCCGAAGTGATCTAAGACGACGCTGGATCCCGGATATCCCAGACTTTCCGGCCGCTGAACCAAGTCTCCTCCACTTGAGCTTGCAATAAGCTCTTCTCATCCCACTTCATGTCAACCACGATGAAATCAGCGCACTTCCCAGCTGCAAGGCTCCCCGTACGGTTCTCATCAAACACACTGCTTGCAGCGCCCCAAGTAGCGGCTGTGATAGACTCGCATAGTCCAAGACGGAAGTGCTCGTTGAAAGTCCCAGTGAATTTGGGATCTCTTGCAGACCGTCTCGAAGCCGCAACGTACAAATTCTCCATCGGTGCCCATGGCGAGGTCGGACTATCACTGCCGATAGCCATCAAAGCCCCCGAGTCGGCGAATTCGCGGTAGGCAAATGCTCGATGACAACGATCTTCTCCGATCAGGCGGGGCCATTCAGTGAGGACAGCCGGGTCCGAGTGAACGGGTTGGATAGAGGCTGTGAGACCCAGCCTGCCTAGACGAGCTGCATCTTCTGGTGATACAAGTTCTAGATGTTCGATGCGGTGGCGGCGGCCGGGGCTGGTGTGCTTCTCTATGGCGTCGATTGCCATTCTAACCGCGGCGTCTCCAATGGCATGGAGTGCAACCTGGAGACCACCATCGTTTGCTTCCTTGACAACAGGGTTCAGATACTCTGGTTCCCAAATTGGTGGGGGCTTGCCTGCCGGTGCGTAAGGTTCCGAGAGAAACGCCGTGCAAGCATCGATAATGCCATCGCATATCACCTTGATACCAACAATACGGAAGTTCGGGCTAGTGGTGGAGTTGTAAACTTGGCTCAGCTCAATAGCGCGACGAACTTGACGGGAGTTGGCATGATGATCCGTTGTTGGCTTGATCAGCCAGTACGCGGCTACACGGATCGGGAAATCTGGCTGGGTATCTCGAAGGGTGATGATCGCGCCCCATGCTTCCTCGTCCATTGCCATCTCCACCACGCCGGTATATCCTGCCGCATTATACTCCTTCACCGCGGCGATGATAGCCTTGATACGCTCTTCTTTGGGGGATGAGGAAGCCTGGTACGGCCAGATGATGGACATCATTGCGCCTTCATCGAGAACACCAGATGGTCTCCCATGCTCATCGCGATGGATACGTCCGCCAGCCGGATCCGGCATGTCGGCGACTTCAAGCTCTTTCAGAGCTGCATGATTACACCAGGATGAATGCAACGAGCTCGCATCGACAAAGATTGGGCGGGGATCAATATCATCGAGTAAAGCGGCCGAGACCCCATTCGGAGTCATCGAGTGCCTCCATCCTTTGCAGAGAATTGTTGGTAGATTCGGGTTTGCCTTGGCGTATGACCTAATGCTGGACCGGATGTCGTCTAACGTTTTGCAATTTGATAAGTCGAGTTTCCGAAGAGATTGTCCTAGTAGGAGGAGGTGCATATGGCCGTCGATGAAGCCGGGAAGGACTGTACGCTGTTGCAGGTCATGGACCTTAAACCCCGTTAAGTCTGATGGTTCTATTTCTTTCCGATTTCCGATAGCTGCAATCTTCTGGTCTATTACCAAGAGACTATCGGCGAAAGTTGCTTGGGCGTTGAATCCAGTCCCGGCGTTGACGAGGACTCTGCCATTGTGGAAGAATGTCCCTGCAAACATTACAATCACACAAAAACTTCTAAGCTCAAGCGAAGTTTGAGGTAGATTATAGTTGTTGGTTTCACTTAACAAAAAACGTCGCTGTGAGTTGTGTTAGTGAAACGCTAAAAAGGTACTGATGATGACAGACAAAGAGGAAGCTTGAAGCTTCAATCGTTTACTTTTTGGTCGCAAAGCTGCTTGTAAGTTGCTTTGAATGCAGATAAATACTACTTCCGAGTCTCGGCACGTTTTCAGAGCCCTTGCTTATTCTTATAGTCTCAGCTAAGCCTCAGGTGCTCAATACTACTTATCTTGAGTCACTAAGGGTTCCGAGAAAAGATCTTGTCAACAGAAGTCAAAGTGGGTTTTCGTCGTTTAGCGCTCGTCACGACTTTACTTCCCAGTTCAATCAGCTCTCATACCCCATTTTAGCTCCCGAATAGTCAAAAAGCGGGGCAGGACCTCTCCTCGACTTTCCTTCCCAGTCAATCTAGATAACATCGTTCATAGCGCGGTTGAGGGAGACCGCGCTCCGTTGGCTTCCGCAATCAGCTTCTTTGCCCTGATTCCCCCAACTCATCAAGGCCCTCACTTATCGAATCGTCGACTGTGCTAGAGATATTGGGAATAAGTATGACATGCTACTTGATAAATCGACCTTCCTTCTACTTTTGTCGGGCTGTCTGAGCCTGGATTGTGAGTAAGAAGGAACAGACGCTTGAGGCCCAATGAGAAGGCGCGATTGAGTCAGAGTTCAAACGCATGGAACGATTCAAGGGGAAGCGAACGACATAGGAGTAGTAAAAGGTTGAATGGGAAAGGTATCGGTCAAGTCATTTCTAGAAAGATTGACGTCCAGCCCCAACTTATATGCAATCTCTATGTGACTTCGGTCGATCTCCCGGCCACGTGAACGCGACCTACGAGGAGGTCATAGGTGCGGGGTCGTGACCAACCGATGTTCAAGCAACCGTCATTACCGGCGTCTTCAAGCACACTCTGAGTATCAAAACCAAACGGATTACGAATGTAAAAAGTAAAAATCACTCTTTAGACAGTCGATTCTCTCAGACTTCAAAATATGTATCAATCACAGATCACATTTACTTTGGATACGGTCTGTCCCTGGTGAGCGTCCGATTCCATCACAGCCTGATTTTTCTACCATGAGCGCAAGTTAACTTCGGGGAAAGGACCTACATTGCTAAGAAGAGGTATTAAATCACAAACGAGGTTGCGATTTTGTGATCTGACAGCAGGCAGATTGGCGGAGGCTCTCGACCAAGTCGCAGCTAGCCCCAATGGCAAAGATGTTTCCTTCACCTTGGTCTTCCGTCCCTACCAGCTCTATCCAGACTTCCCATCAGAGCCGCAGGACAAGCGGCACTGGTACACGACAGCAAAGCATGATGCCTCCGATCAAAAGCAAGAAGTTTTCGAAGCGACAATGGGGGCCCTCGGATCTGCAGCCGGCATCAACTTTTCCTTTGGGGGCACCATCTCCAACACGCTTCCATCGCATCGAATCATCCAGCACTTTCAGGAAGCCAAGAATGCGGAGACTGCAAATCGACTGGTTGACGCATTGTATAGTCGCTACTTCGAACGCGAGCAGGATCAAAACTCCAAGGATGTGCTGGTAGACGCGTGCGTCGAGGCCGGTATTTCGGAGACGGAGGCGAAAGCGGTTGTGGATGATGAAAGTGAAGGGAAGATGGAAACGAGAAACATGATTCGGATGGCCGCCATGGATGGTGTTGATTCGGTGCCGTATATCATGTTTGAGGGCCGTCGGAGGGATCTCACTCTCATTGGGGCCAAGGAGGTTGATGAGTATGTCAAGGCTTTGCAGACGATTATCAAAGAGAGCAAGTGAAGAAGTGTACTTAGTATCTTTGTTTGATTCATAGTGCGTAGGCACCCAGATAAGATAATTTTGGTCATCGGTTCCAGTTTGGTCGAGATGTTGTCCTAGTATCGCTCCAAGATCCACTGTCGACGGTCATCACTACTAATAGCCTCCAGGTTTCTCATTTCCTCCTCCTTGACTGTGATGTATCTCTCTATCAAGTCCTCACCAAGCAGCTCATTCATGACATCGTCCGCGCGGAGAGCTTTGAGCGCCTCTGGCAGACCTGAAGGAAGCATCTGCTCGACGCCCAGCTCTTTCCGGTCATTCGGCGTCAAAGACGCAGGGTCAACCTCGCAATCACCCCAGGTCATCTTTTCGCCTTCGATGACACCGTGTGTGCCTGCGCCCAGGAGTGCAGCGAGTGCGAGGTACGGATTTGCGATGCCGTCCATGCACTTGACCTCCCAATGGCTGTTCTCAATCTTGCGCAGCGGCGTCTCTCTGTTCTGGGTGCCCCACGTTACCCAACGACCGCCGGCCCAGCAGCCGTCTTGAACTCTCTCGTAGCTAACAGGGTTGCTGTATGTGAAGGCCGTGATCGCGCGAAGGTGCCTTAAGATACCGGCATAAAATGGGTTGTATGTCTCTGGCTTAGAGCCCGCAGCGGAGTTGATTGACATGTGCACATGGGCTGCGGTGCCGCAAGCTGTCGGATATGGTTTGGGGTGAAGAGTCATCCTGTAGCCTTCTGCCGCGGCGATGCTTGAGATAACCTCACGAACGTAAAGCAATGTGTCGACTGCTTCGAGCGGAGGCGCCTGAGGAAGGATGACTTCGAACTGGCCGGCCGCACTCTCAGGGTGCACTTGCTCGATGTAGATGCCGTTGGCGTCTAGCTCGGCCACAGCCTTCTCAATGACTTTAGCAAAGACAGGGTGATCCATCATGCGGGAGGTAGACCATGCGTGCCCGTCATTGCTAAGAGTTTTGTACTTTTCGAAGGAGTTATCCACTCGCTCGAGGAGAACCAGCTCAATCTCAAATCCGAGACTGAAGGTCAAACCATGTCGGGCAGCTATCTCGATCACCCTTTGCAGTAAGGATCGCGGACAGAAGGGTACAGCTGAGCCGTCATACTCTCTGAAATCGCCAAAGACGCTGATATGACCCTCTCTGGGACCCTCCTGAAGTGAGGTGAAGTCGGGATGAAGGCGGTACTCTCCGGTGCCAGATGCCCCCGGGACCACGTGGTCGTTCTGCAACAGTCCGAGACTTGCTTTTGTGATACTGATGGAGAAGTCACCGTCTTCGTTCATTACAGAGAGAACTTTGCGCATTGGTATCGCGCGAACTCGTGGTGTTGCTGTCAGGTCATTCCAGTAGATGCGCAGGTATTGAGGTGGCTTTTTCCCATCCAGGAAAGCTTCTAGAATGTCAAGATCACTTCTTCCTGACAGTCTCCTCGGGTTCGCAATTGTTTCATCGAAGCTGAACTCTAATCCGAGATGGTACACACGGTTGGAGTTGTTGAAGAGGATGTCTTTGACGAGTTGGGTTGCTTCCCGCCAGGTCATGTGTCCCTTGCGGGAATATTCAGACAAGACCTGGATCATGTCAGCCTTGACGGAAAGAATAAGAGGCATATGATATTAGTGACCTTTTCCAAGACCTCCCGCACTTGGAGGACGGCGAGTAGGTAGGTTTCTGGGAACCAATGCCCATCAGTGCTCCACAATATCTTAGACCAGGGACACAACTCTAGAACCTGCCGCACGGCAGTTTCCTGGCCATCTCTGCTCAGGAACGGAAATATCTCGCCAATATCAGTGTAGACGTTGGCATACACAGACGCCAAGTACCCGGCCTCTCTCATGAAGGGATAGCTGGCATGCAGGAGTACAATGGGAACCGTGGGGTACTGGCGAATGAACTCCTGTAGATGTGATGGGGAAGCGGAGGTGAGAGTGATGTCGTTGTCGCCGAGGCCAGTATGAAATTGAATTGGCTTCTTGCCAGAGCCTGAAGCATTCCTGATGAGACAAGCCAACCTGTGCACCAGGTACTCATTAAGCCCACGATGATTGACGCGTGTGAATGCCTTGTCAGTGCCTTTGGTATGTTTCTCATGGATCTCCTCGAATGCCTTGCGAGCCGCAGCAGCGTCTGGTCTTCTGGGAATACCCAAACCAGTGCGGTAGCAAATCACGGACTTGAAGCCAACGACTTCTGGATCGGCTATGGCCTCCACAATGCTGTGATCAAACGCCTTCAATGCCTTTTCAAACACGGACCCGGCGTCTTTGGCGGTTCTTGGAGCATTTTCATCCGTGGGGAGATGGTTATTGATAATGTCTGCCGCAATCTTCTCGATGCGCACAATCCTCTTGGCAGGGCTGCGTGTAAGGTCGCTGAAGTACGTGTAAGGATAGACCGCATTCTCGCCATCTAAACCATCGTCGACCAGAACCGATTCAATTCCATTGAGGCATTCCGCGACCCAGGCATCGTAGTCCTCGATGCGTTTCGCCTCAATGGCATTCACGACGGCTTCCCAGCTCGGCTCGCATCGAAGGATCTTGGAGAGCTGTTTGACGGCGCGCAAATGGGCCAAACTGGTCAGTGAGGCGTGAATTGCGTCGCCGTGAGCTTCAGTGGTGATTGATAGAAGAGGGTAACGGCCAATTGCATCGAGATCTAGAAGAGGATGGGCATGGTTGTCGATAATGGGCGTCGTCTGAATGGTGTGGCTGAGGAGTGCCTGGCCAGTAAGCTTCGCGGGATCCATCTTCGCGGAGAAAGACCACCAGAGAGGTCAGGATTATAGCTTAGGTTGAAAAGGAATTCTGACAGCCTTTCAACCGCAAGTTGATGGATGTAGTCCCCAAACGAGATGGCTTTCGGCCTGGTAATTTGGTTGCGCAGGTGTGAGGATGCAGCTGGCGGAAAAGGGAGGGAGGGGTAGGTGATCAGGCTGTGAAATGACGTGAGACCTTCTTATCGCTGCCGCTGCCGTGCCATGCCGATAGGAGAGTTCATGTCTTACAGCTCCGAGAATCCTCGCCTCCCTTTGGGTAGATCGCGAGGGGAAACAACCCAGCCCCATTTCGCCCATTCGTAGATGTAAACTGGCCGACGTCACGGGCTGGAACGTGTAGTGGTGTTCGTCGGTTCGATAAGCTTTATACCCCGCAATCAACGGATGCTAGGTGTCAGCTGGTGTCGATAATAAGACGAATCCGCCAGAAGTCCATGCCAAGAAAGCTGCGAAGATGATGTTTAAGGTCATGTTAAAAACACCGCCGTGGCCATTAATGTTAATGATGCCATTTAGCAGTCATTTAGACGCATCGCTGATGTCGATGGGTTCGGCAGCCTTGAATTCTTTTTATGATTGATTTCAAGGTCGTGTAGGTACCTACTTGAACGTACTGCACAGGCCCGCCGGAGTCCCGAACCGTCCGGGGCGGTTCTACTGTCGAGTAGACTTCGGGCCGGCTCCGGCAACCGGCATGAAATTTCCCTCATCATCAACAATAACGGAGATGTTGAAATGACACTTTTCTCAACCGTCGCCGAGGAGCGCGCAAGGTACCTAGATATTTGTGTTCCCTAACGCACAGAACCTCGGCGCATACTTACATGCAGGCTTTCGGAGCTAGCGGAGTCCAACGAAATGGTAATTCAAGCAGGCTAGACGAAATCTCGCATAAGTCGGCGTGCCACAGAGCTGCGGGACATATGGACTGCAGAACACTCCATGACGTTCATATCAGGCTGACCAACCGGAAACTGAGGTCTACCATCCCCAAGAATCGAGTGAGACCACCTGCTTGCAACCGACCCGATCCACCAACAGCCTGCTTCAAGGATGACCAGAAATCTTAGATATCGAGCCTCGAAAGACTCGAGATCAGCACCCTCATGCCGAAACGCCTGCACTGAGCCTTGCTGCTGATACCCCAGCCGCTGCGCCAGTTGCCACTAGGAACAGCCACTCTATTCAGCTTCTGCATGGCGACCATGTCTCATCACAACCGGACGCCCGTCTTGCTGGCCACCGTTTTGCAACTTTGCGGATAGCTTGGCCGTACGCGTCCGGCCGTAGTCAAAACCGGCGTAAGACCAGTATGGTACTCGCCGCCCCCGCACTGCAATCCTCGACTCGATCGGGTTCTGACTTAACTCAAAAAATGTCTGCTAGCAGTATCTTTGAAGCTGCCGAATACTTCGCCTGGCCTGTATCTTGTACAATCCTCCTCCTACCATTTGTGCGCTACTTCGCTTCGCCGGTGAGTCGACCTTCTAGCTTACGCCCAATTTGAAGAGCACAATCACTGAACTGAGGCGACCGGTACGAATAGAAACCGCAATACGGACTGCCTCAATCAGAAAGTCGCACAAGAAGGCGTTCGAGTAAGATGGCGCACCCGGGAAACACTGGAGAAAGCACCGTAGTTATGTCAGATGGAAGTGAGTGCCCTGTTGGATGGACTCAGGACTGTTGCCCGGGGTCACCGTAAAGAGCTGAGATCCGATACAAACGTACTTGTTGATAAGAATTTGTTCAATGCTGATTACTACGTCGAGCAGAAGGATCTCTGCGTACAGAACCCTCTACGAGCACTGATGGTCACATCTCATCAGAGACAAACCAAACGCACTCACCCGAAGCAACTTCTTCTCCTCTCAGCTCCTCTGTTAGCGATGATTCACTTGAGGAAAGAATCAACCGAGATCTTTGTAAGACCGAGGATGACAAAGACTTTCTGCCAGCCGACATTATCGACGCCTTGACATCTAGAAGTATTGTCGAGGAAGAGCTCAAGGCGCATGTGGCTAGTGATCAACTATCGTCCCTCTTAGCCTATGTCACAAACCCGAACCAACCTGCTAGGCGGCTATTTCTTACTCTAGTTGTTTGCGATGATCTGAAGCGACTCCAAGATCTAGCCGATGCTCCTCAAAATTTTCATGACGGTGATTTGCCCGTCAAGGTTGTGAAGAACCCTAATACGGCTGGGTACTGTATGGAGAGCATCGGAAGCGGCAAAATGTGGCCTCTATTCGCAAGTCGCCGGAAAGCCACTCTTGACAGTTTCTTTCACAGTCAATGGCAATTTCTTGCGCCAGTCTTTACTACCAATTCCTTTCGTCATAAGCTTCACCCTAGCTGTCCTCTTCCTTTTATCGTGAAGATCAACCATCAAAAGGCGGGGTTCTTCAGTTCCGTGTTTGAAGTGGTGATTCATGATGCACATCAGAAGGTCCTACCAAAGGTAAAGATCTTGTCCCCTCGAGACGTACTTTAGTCGCTTACAATTGATTACAGATCAAGGGAAAGAAGATTCGTGTCGCCTCAAAGGAGATGAGAATTGGGATGGATTCTTACTATGAGAAAGAGGCGGATATTCTGGAGACCATACGCAATGTTGACAACCCTCATCTCATTAAACCCTTGGCGGCATATCGAAGAGGTGATCTCAGGGGCTTTCTTTTCCCTTGGGGGGAGGGTGGCAACCTGAAAGAATTCTGGAGCTCCCAAGAAAAATTGCGACCTGTGCCTGTCAGAGACCCTCATCTTGTTCTTTGGGTCCTACGGCAACTTCAGGGCATCTGCGGATCCATCAGTGCCTTGCACGAAAGGAACTGCCGACACGGAGATCTGAAGCCCGAGAACATTCTTCATTTCCTTGAGACTGGTGGCAAGGGTGTTCTCAGAGTTGCCGATGTAGGGCTCGCTAGATTCCATCTCGAGGCTACCAGAGATCGAAACCAGCCGACGAACACCATGACCGGCACTGTCCGTTATGAGCCTCCGGAGTTCGGGCTTACGGAGCAGATCTCGCGACTCTACGATGTGTGGTCACTGGGCTGCGTCTTTCTTGAGTTTCTCATCTGGGTGCTCTATGGCAACAGCAAACTGAGGGACTTCAACAGGGCCAGCATCGAAGAGAAATTCTGGAGCAAAGATGATGAAGGCTACCATCAGCATCGCGAGGTCAAGAGGTGGATTTCTCGCATGTCGAAGGACCTCCGGCGAAGCGACATTACTTCCACCACTGCGCTCAAGGACGTACTGGAGCTAATCGACTTGAACATGCTAGTCCCTGAAGTCGATGGCCGGACAAACTCTACAAAGCTGTACGAAAGGCTGAGGAGTATTTTTGAACAAGCTCAAGCACAAGAAAACTATTTGCTGGATTCTACTCTATGGGGTCGCATCAGCACTAGCGCAGTCCCCGTTGAACACAGGCGCTCTAACCTGGAAGTTCCTGGCCAACGACCTCTCCCAGGTCGCGCAACAACAAGTCAAAACCTACAACCTGCGCTTCTAGGGAGCGTACCGGACGTGCCCATACCAGACACTCCTATGATTGTTGAACCCGTTGCTGAGCTAAGCGACGTCAACATGCAAATTCCGATTCCGAATGCTCAAGAAGTAAGAAAACCCTGGCGTGATACTATATAGCAGTCTCCATAAGAATTGGTGCTAATGAGATGCTTCGTGCACAGTATGTGAGTGTGAGATCTTTGTGACGGTTGATTTCACTTTGACAAATGTGCGGTCTCTCGGTATCTTCTGTACTAACTCCAGTCATTCTAGAACGTAAGCTACCTCTACTTAACATCATAGTCCTTCATATTTGCCTTCAGGTATTGCTAATTAGTCAAATTGACTCATTTCTTACCCCGTGATAGATGGTAAGTCACTTTGACATACTTGAAACGATTTGTAGCTAACAGTATATAGCGCGTAAGCCTTATCAGAAACTCCTGCTCTAGCCATTTTGCTCCAGCTAATTCTCATCAGCAACTTGACAACTTCCGAGATGTGTGGGAGTTGCAGAGTGATAGCCATTTCGCCAGTGAATTCTATCACGAATCCGCATCACCCCTACCGACCCCACAAAATTCCACACTCTGCAGTAATTGCAAGAAATATGATATCTGGACGCCCATGTTTCTTATTTGTGAACGACTTAGAGATCTCAAATCCAGATCTCAGGCTTGCGAGCTGTGCGCCATCCTAGTTCGAAGTGCTGAATCGCTTGGCATAGAGGATGGCGGTGAATTGAAGTGTCGAAGAGAAGGCTCGTCGTTAAAGATCGATCCCGATGGTCCCACTATTTTGAGTCTTTATGTTAGCCCAGGTAAGCATCGGGTACAACTTCGTTCACATTGTTGGTCGAACATGCCTGCTTACTGGAAACAACCATAGCGACTGGCGGCTCTACACCTCCACATGCACAGGTCGGCTTTCCTACCCTACCGGAAACAGGCTCCCCTGAGCAGTATGTTCTGCTGAACGAATGGCTACGCGTGTGTGACGAACAACACAGCCATGGCGTCGATGATCGTACCGAGTTACCCACTCGCGTCCTCGATGTTGGAACAGACCCGAATTCTACTATTCATCTCTGCGAAGGGAAGCTCCTTCCACTCGAACGATACACTGCCCTGAGTCACTGCTGGGGGGTGAATTCTCAAGCTCAAGTTCGCACCCTGAAGGAGAATATCGATGTCTTTCGCAAGCGGATTGACTTCGGCATTCTTCCAAAGAGTTTTCAAGACGCCGTTAAAATCACGAGAGCGTTGGGACTACGCTACCTATGGATTGATTCACTCTGCATTATACAGAACGATAAGCAGGATTGGGCCTTTGAGGCCACGCGTATGGAGCATGTCTTCAGCTCTGCCTATGTCACTATAGCAGCCACAGCAGCGTCTTCTTCGGCTGAAGGCTTCTTGCGACAGAAAGCAAAACATCCATTCGTAACATTGGAGGGACCCAACGGGCGCACTACCTTTGTGCGCAAGTCAATTGACGACTTTCACCAAGATGTCGAACAAGCTGTGCTCAACCAGCGCGGATGGGTGTTACAAGAGAGGGCATTGTCGCGCCGGATACTTCACTTCACAGCATCTCAGGTGTATTGGGAATGCGGAAATGGCGTTCATTGCGAGACTTTGATGAAGCTGTCTAAGTAAGTCCCGAGTATTTGGCTCTTGGATGCCTAATAGCTGACATTGGTCCAACAAGCCGACAAGCTGCACTCCTCGGGGACTCCGATTTCCCTAAATCAGCCCTAGAGTACTTCAAGGGAGGCCGAATCGTGACATTCCAAACCCTCTATCAGATGTATTCCCGGCTCGCATTCACAGTACCGAGCGATCGGTCCATTGGAATCAAGGGTTTAGAAGAGAGACTGGTCAAGGACTTTGCCACCAAAGGAGGATTTGGAATTTTCGACGAATACCTTCAACGAAGTCTTCTTTGGCAGAAAGCTCCTGATGCGTCCCTCGATAGAATCTCATACCCTCCAGATAGGCGAGTTCCCTCCTGGTCCTGGATGGCATATCAAGGCCAAATAGCCTATCTTGAGGCTCCCTTCGAACATATCAACTGGACCAAGGATATTATCACGCCTTTTAACACTGACAGCGGAAAGAAAACGCATTGGGAAGTCTCCGAGGGCAGTGAAATTCCTCTCCTCCGTGGCGTCGCAAGTCGCATCAGTTTGGATGACATCGAACTCCTCAAAAGAGTCAGATTCGACGAATCAAGGCCGCATACGATAGATCACCTGAGATGTATCGTTGTTGGGAGGGAGAAGACAGAGGGCTTGACCCGGGAGCCGGAGCATTATGTTCTTGTCATTGCGAGGCTATCTAAAGAACAAGGTGGTCGATATGAGCGCGTTGGCGTAGGAAGATTACTGGCTGAACACATCCTACTGCGAGAGCCGCAGCTCGACGTTGAGGTGCAGTAGTTTTCTAAGGATTCTTTCATAGAATCTCCCATTTTCCGTGGACTTTATTTCAAAATGAGGTGTTACTTATTTTCTTCCATATCACTTTCAAGTTTACCTTATTCTATCAAACGAGCATTTGACGTTTGGCTGATCATCATGTTGTGTTGCATCAAAATTCGTACGATGAAGTGGTCTTGAAAATGGGAGTCAAGAGACTTGGCCTACGCATGACTGATTCTTGTCGATGCTCATGGCCGCCATTACATTCTCGATGTGAATTAGATAAGATAATCCTGTCCGTTGAATTCCCTCCTCTTTCATTTCTGCTGAATCCATGCTGGAATCATTTGTCCCTCCTGTTAGGCCGTCCAGCCGGTGTTCTCGATATTTGCGAGTATCCAGCTCGCGAAGTCTGCGCTGTTCCATGTCGCTTTGCCAGTGCCCTCTCTCAGAATCGAATGCTAATAGAACTAACATTCATTAATCATACATGTACTAAAAACATGAAGAATCAGCATCCGCGTCCTCAGAGCTTTGCAGTCATGCATTTCATGTACTGGCTTCACATACCACAGTAATCCTACAGTCGGTATTTACTTGCTTTCAGCATCGAGCTTTCAGACGGAGCTCTCTGACTATCGACTCGCACCGTGTATATGTTATGCCGCATCTCTACGGTATAACTGCCGCTAGGTAGTCGTCTTTCTAGCGCCCGTAATAATTGAGAAGAGCTCGTGAGATTCGAATGAATTTGTAACTCTAGAGGTTCTTGCTGATCGTAGTGGCCTGATTCAAAATCCTTGACAGATGCGTATTGCGGCATTGTATCTGAGCTGTGTATCCAAGGCTGGTGCTGTTCTTTGCTGGCTTCTAGATCGTAAGCTTTAGTGAGCGGTTGTTGTGTTTAAATCTGGACGGTCCAGACAACATTCAGGGACACGGACAGAGATACCGAGAACAGCCCAATCTCCCAGCCTTAGACATGTGTAAATACCGCCACGTCAGGCGGCTAGCGGTGTCATCGCGACCGAAATAGACACATCGAATTCGAAAAGTTGCCGGACGGAGGCGCTGGGGCTATGCTCGCGTGCGTGATCATTTGCTGACCTCAGCTGGCATAGCCTGACCTGACCAAGAAAGACGGAGGTATGGCCTCGGTGGTTTCTGAATCATAGTCTCAGCGATATATGAGTGGCTGCAAGCAGTATTTGCCCAGGTAAGCCAAGTTAGGTCGAGTGATTTGGTGTTGGTCCCATTTGCAGCCTATGGCGAACCACCTCGACGCTCAGCCCCAAGCCCCCCGCTGCGTAAGACTTCCCATAGACGCCTCTTAGGCATTCCGGATACCTACAGGGGGCTTAGCTTCTAGCAGTCTCGGTGACACGAGAAAAGGTGGTGTAGCATCACATCTGCTAATTGGCTATTGCCGATGCAACTCGAGGTAGGCTAGGAGAAGAGAGCACAACAGGAAGCTCAAGTATCACGGTAAATAGGGCAGTGCCTTTCCACTCACTTTGATCGATCGAAATGTCTCAGTTACACCACCATGCTGCACGGGAACGGGTATACGGTGTATGGTAATTAAAGTCCAGCGTCGCTCAAGGCGACTGGTGAAATGGAAGCTGCGGGGTCTAGCACCAACGTCTGGTCTACCCAGTTGACTCAACCATCAGCGATAATATCCGCACATGATTTGTTCAGCTGTGTGTTAGCTACCATCTCAAGGTCATCAGCATAGACCCTGCACTCATTTTACGAGACAGATTCCAATTTGGTCCCGTTCACTTTATTGTTCCACTTCCAATAGCTTGTCCGCCTTGGGATATCATTGAGGATGGATCCCACAAAGCGACCAGGCATCAATTGGGAGCTCTTGGGCATCGCCGAACCCATCGCCGAACCCCCGATTCCAAACGGACCAACCACCGGAGTAACATCGTCGAATCAAATTCAGGCGCCTCGGCTCGGACACCCCGTTTCGACATCCGAAAGCTCAGAAGGGGGGGCAAAAGATTTCAGTCAAAGCGATTTGCTCGTCTCATGGCGTATCAGTGTCACCGATGAAGACTTTACTGAAACGCGCCGCGAAGAAGTGGCAGGGAACTTCCGGCTCATCAACGAACAAAATCGGAACCTAGGATCATATGGAGGCTGTTCATCCGATGCTGGAGCCTCAAACTGCAGCTTCCTTAGTATCGTGCCTGTGCAGGACATGGGTCATTCAGATCACATTGATTGGGAGTCATCAGAGATGGCGAATGATTGTGTTAAGACTCAGGCATTACGTTCTCATCACCCTGAACTACGGCCTCAGGACAATAATACCAACGATGATGCCGATGTTCAGACCATGAGCGACGCCATGTTTGCCGCCAGCATAACTTCAGCCTCGGAAGATAAAGGCTTCCTGCCTCTCGATGCACTCCGCCGCATCGTAACTCCGACGGCCGTACAAAGGCTTTTGGGGCATGCATTCCCTCACTTCAAGCCCAAAGTCATCAACAGCTGGGTCTCCAGTATTAGCGGCAAGCCAGATGAGGTCAAGACCCAGCCACGACGACGAAAGATATTTGCTATCTTGATTTTGATGGAGCAAGTGAAGCTGATTGAAGACTTCATTAAACACAACATCGATGACAGCTTTTTGCCGCTAGAAATAAAACGGAATTCGCGTCACAAACCTGTCATCCAACTTCAAAAGAAGGACGGTACGGTCTTGAGTTGTTTGAATCATTGGCGTACCAAGCACATCAACAATTTCGTTCAGTGCCAGGAGACAATTTGCACACCTTTTTTCAGACTTCCAGGCGATAACGTGCACTACTACGAAATTACATCAAAAACAATCCTACCGTTCCAAGAATACGACCTAGTTCAAATTGGCGGCTATGGGAGCGTTAGAAAAGTCAGAATCCACCACGCTCATTACAGCCGCGACACTACATCCAAGGCAAGTCATAACCTTTGGTCTTACAACTGCACTTGTTTTCTAATTCCTCCTTAGGACCGAGCGAAAGTCCTCCGACATTTCGCAGTCAAGCAGCTTCATCTTGAAACTCATGAAGAGTACGCGAGAGAAGTGGAGCTTTTTGAGAGACTAGGAGTCGGATCAAGAGGGCCAGACCCTGACCATTTAATCCAGCTTCAACTCACCTACAAATACGGCAAGTCTTACTATCTGGTCTTTCCTTGGGCAGATGGTAATTTGAGGGAATTTTGGAGCAACACCACCGCCAACCCAGGTAGCAAAGCTGAGACCGTCTGGTTTCTAAGCCAATGTTTAGGCCTTGTCCGCGCCCTCCGAAGGATTCATAATCTGAGGACCATGTCCAAAGAAGACAACTACGTCCCTGTTCCTAACGACCCAAATGTGTTGCTTGACAACAAACACTGGGGTCGGCATGGCGACATCAAGCCAGAAAACATTCTTTGGTTCAAGAAATACGAAGAGTCGCGTCGCAACTTTCTTGTAATATCTGACTTTGGATTAACTCGATTCAACACTGCCGATTCCAGGTCCAAAGTCGCTTATGACGCAGTCAGGGGTTTCTCGGGATCTTATCGGCCTCCCGATGTGGATCTGAAGAGAACCATATCGCAGAGGTATGATATCTGGTCGCTGGGTTGTGTCTTCCTTGAATTCGTGTCGTGGTTTCTTGTCGGCCACGATCGAACGCAAAAAGATTTTACAGACGCTCGGCTCCAAGAAGATGGCTTGCATACTGGATCGAGGATTCTTCTTGAAGATAAGTTCTTCAACTTTAATCCAAGTAAAGATGATGCACCCTCGACAGCTGAAGTGAAGACATCCGTCACTGATGTAAGTGGTCCGACGAAACCGTCGCTCTCCTGATGATGTATGCCTTCCGCAATCTTACTAAATATTATTAGTGGATCGATGACCTACATCAACAGAAGAGCTGTGCAGCGCCCGTGCATGAAATACTGGACCTCATTCAGTACACAATGCTTGTGCCAGATGCTAAAGAAAGATGGGCTTGCTCGAGGATACAGCCTGTGATTACCGAGTTGATCCGAAAGAGCAAGCGTGACACAGCTTATGCTACCGGTGGGACTTTTGGCGTGTCCGATCCATTGAGATTTCCCTGTATATCTGTGGAACCTCCTGCTGTATGTGATCAGCCCGAAAAGATTTGCCAGATTATGACTGACACCGGAGAGGAGGAGGGCAAAATACCGAGTTTACCTGGCACTCCTGACAAGTCCGGCCGGAGGGATAGATCGTTATCTCTTTCGCCAGCAGCTGCCATCAGCAGTAGGGAGCATAAACTATCCCAAACAAAGGATCGGGTAAAACGACCACCAGTCAAGCCAGTGAGCTCTTCAGTGCAATCGTCTTACTTCTCTCGTTCAGCCACTGAACCTGCTTCCATGCTGGCCTCTGATAGAAAGAGTGTTTCGAGATCGGCGAGGTTGTCGTCCTTTAGTACAGAAGATTCCACACAATCGATCATGAGTGTGTCGGAGGCGGCATCAAGTTTTACGAGTACACCAGACACCTCCCCGTTCCCTAGTCAATCGGCTGAAGACTGTTTTGATGTACTCGAACCAAACTTGGTTTTAAGGCAGAAGGATGCCTGTGAAGGCATATCAAGTGAAGAAATACCAAAGCGGCGGCGTAAAGAAGCCAGTGCATTGAAAGATACATAGCGGATGGAAAAGCCCCCTGGAGTGCACATACAAAATCTCTAGAGGCCTGAAGACGGATATAGCTTGCGGAAGTATGATAAAGCATGTTGATTCTGATGTAGTTCACCATATTAATCGGGTGTTCAAGCTTTTTCATAGACACTGGTGTTTCGCATACAAAGTTCTCTCCGAGTGCATCTGATACGTTGTATTCAGAAGCCCACAGTTGTCGGCGAGTTACTATCGACTGATGGCAAATTGGTAGCTGGCGTGCCCGTATTCCAATTCAAAATGCCTCCCTCACCAAAAGCGAAGTCATTTTCGATCTGGGTAAACAGGAATTGATTCGCTTCTTCGGTGGACCATGACCACGGAGGTTCAGACGCTAGCAGTGTATCGAGTCCATCCTCCCCATTATGCTCAGCTGGGCCATGTACGAGGCCATCCATCACCATCGGATTGGTACTGACATCCTGCATACTGTCGAGTCCAGATGCGAAAGAGACATCATCCTGCATCCGTAATCGCGCCGCCGTAGATCGATCCAGGTACTGGAAAAATAACTGCAGCACCCACATCCTGACCTCCCACGTTTTTTGTAGCTCTTGCAGGCCCAAAAGACAAACCTTCGCTCTATGCTCAATGATGGCCCTTCCGGCGCCATTTGAAGAACGAAGATGGACCGTATGAATACAGAGCGTGTTGAAAAGGTTCGTTATGACGTGAATTTGCCCGTGACGTAAATCCCCTTCCAGTAGCATATCCTCGATGATGCGGGAGTTCCTTGCCGCGGCCTGGAGGGCGATCTGCCCGTCCACTTCTTGGCTTTCTTCAGCACTGCCAATGCAACCTGATCTATACAACAGAATGAGGAGATTGTTGTGTGCCAGGTGCAACATGCTGGCGTGGAAGCTCGCTGCATCATCAAATTCGTTAATGGCGAGGGACATGACTGCAGGAAGTTGCTGTCTCCATCTCACAAGGTCGTCTCTCATTTGAGACCGATCACTCGGGGATAGTGACTTGCTGGGGAGGTATCCGCTATGAACAATCTTCCCCAATACTCTAGAGAGTTGAGCAATGCTGATGAAGTATGAGATGTACTCTTGGACCTTGTGACTCGGCAACGTCAAGCCAAACGCACGCTCGAAGTCAAGTTCCTCTAATGGCTCAATATCACAGTCTTCGTCTCGAATCCGGTTTGGCAGGCCCAATGCTGCAGCACATTGCCTTTCGCGGATGTAAATAGCCCACCATAAGCGCCTAGAAAGTCTCTCGGTCCTCTTCTCGGTAACAGCGGATCTCGAGGATCGGTGAAGCGCCTTCGTCTGAGCAAGACTGATTGCTGCGCCCAGCCAGTGCCGGGCGTCTTTCTCCAAGAGCAAGCCAGCCCTCCAAAAGCTCATAAGAAACAAAGCTTGGGTGACTATGAACTTCTTTGGCTCAAATTCGACGTCGTAAATGTCCTTTGCGCGATTGTAGAACACCCACTTGGCAACATGACGGCCTCCGAGTCCAATGGCTGGTAGATCATCTTCCTTGCAGTGGATGACAGCTATGAAGAGGATCGCGTGTAGCAGCAGAGGGGATAAGGTACCATCTTTGAAGCTCGTCCAAATATCTAGCTCGTCCACGACAGGGAAGCATGGGTGGAACCATTGGAAGTACGCCTTGAGCAACGTTTCCACGGCTGGCACAGGTGGAAATGAAAAGACGCCTTCTGCTTTGAGAGAACGAATCCTCGACTTCCTACGCTCTACTTCCCATTCCGGCAGTAGGTTCTCAGCTCTTACAGCGTGAGGAACGGCATGCAGAAACCTTAGGTTTTCTGGTGGTGATGTACCGGCTGTTGGCGGCGTTGGATTGCTGTTGGTGACATAACGTATTGAGGACGATTCGCCGAGGAATACCGAGCTGTCGTCCTCCTGTCTGTTGTTTGGTGCTATTGAAGGTGACTGAGGCTGCACTGTGATGCATGCCTGATCGCCCGAGCCTTCTACATCCCGATAACTTGCAAGATCGGCAAGCGCTTGAGATGCGGCAAAGTGCTCATCATTTCCAGTCGCCACTGACTCATCAAGAAGACTTGTATCGATGAAAGAAGGTGATGAACCGGCCTGGTCTAGCCCGCCTTGGTTGTCTGGCTTTGCGTTTCGCCGTGATGGGCGAGGATGCTTGCCCCGTCTCGACTCACGGAGCTCACAAGGCGTGTCGGCTGATATGCAATTGCGACAAGGTCTTTGCTCGGTTACATTACACTTGACGCGTCGCGCGTTGCAAGCCTGACATGCCTGGCGCGCTCTCCTGCGGAGGTTTGTCATAGCCGCCAGCCGAAGGCCAACGAAGCTTTCCGGGCGCGAATGTGTTTAGCCGCGAAGAGTCGCCAAGTATAAAAGAATGATCCTTTCCTCTCGTGCTTAGGTAGGTACCCAGAGATGTCCCTGGCAGCACTTGGGCTCTTGTGAGATGTTGTCCGAAGTTGTTGAAGTGTGCAGGTGGTCATGTAGCCGAGACTGATTTCTGGGTATAGCCGAGTGCGGGGGATCTGAATGCGCCAATGACATCACTACGCCTGCGATTCAGTTATATGGAGTTACATAACCGATCCATTCCAGGCCCCATCCATGCTTGCTTGCTTGCTTTTGATGTTAACTTTCAACATCCTCTTCTGTGCTTTAGGTACGTGTATCAATTGAAATGTTTCTCTAGCTTCATGAGAGACACGGCCGAGAGAATCTCAGAGCAATATGGCCACGAAATTATCTCCCCAACTCAAGTGCTTGTCTCAGAAACTTCGCGCTCCTAGACTTGCCAGGGGATTCTCATTCACAGCGGAACATCGAGGTACATACGAAAGTACGATTGCCAATTTAAGCATTGATCAGAATACCAGAGTGATATATCAAGGTAAGAGAAGTGATAATGCGTCAATGCATCAAATTATTCTCAGACTCTTTGGGTTTGCTAACCGACTATGACGTAGGATTTACTGGTAAAGCAGTGCGTACCATACATTGGCGAAATCGATGTGACTTCTATGGAGCTGACATGGACTGATGATAGGCCACCAAAAATGCACGAGACACAATAGAATATGGCACGCAGATTGTTGGAGGCGTCTCCCCTGGGAAAGGTGGTCAGGATCACCTCGGCCTACCAGTGTTCGACACAGTACAAGAAGTACGAAATCCTCAACATTCTCCGAGGTATATCAATCAGCTGACGAAATATTATATACAGGCCGTAAAGAATTTGAAGCCACACGCAAGCGCAGTCTTCGTTCCTGCCCAATTCGCAGCAGGGGCAATCATTGAAGCAATTGAGGCTGAGATTCCGCTCGTCGTTTCAGTTGCTGAACATGTGCCCCTTCATGACATGGCTAGGGTTCAAGAGATTCTCCGAACACAAAGTAGAACGCGACTTGTGGGACCTAATTGCCCCGGAATCATCGCACCCGACCAATGCCGCATTGGCATCATGCCGTACAAGCAGTACACCAAAGGCGTTGTTGGGATTGTTTCCAAAAGCGGAACGCTCAGTTACGAAGCTGTAGGAGCCACAACCAAAGCTGGACTTGGACAGAGTATCGTTGTTGGAATGGGAGGAGATATGATGCCCGGTAAGCAGAAACCTCCAGCTCACATACCCACTGAATCTGCTCTGATCTGCTGTGGAAGGTACTACACTTCTGGATGGGCTCAAATTATTCTTTGAACATGAAGAGACTAAGGGAATTATCGTCATTGGCGAGATTGGCGGAGAAGCTGAGCTTAGAGCAGCAGAGGCCATAAGAGATTACAGAAAATTGACGCCTAACCCAAAGCCAATAATTGCAATGGTTGCCGGGAGAACGGCGCCGCAAGGCAAAACGATGGGTCATGCTGGTGCTATTCTCTCACCGAGAGATGTACCTGCCGATATTAAAGCAAAGGCACTCGAGGAGGCGGGTGCAATCGTTGTGCCGCACCCGGGAGTCATGGGCAATGAGATGAGAAGACTCCTCAATATGTAGCTATAGCTTAAGGTTCGAAAACTGATGAAAATAATTACTCGATCAACTTGAATCATCGTACAACTTTTAGTACTCACCCCTGGTGTCTCGCATGATCTATCATTTCATGTCTCGAATGTATAGTTGATTGTAATTGGTCGCCAATGATGATAGAAGTTCTTCTTTGCGAGATAACTTGAACATTGAACTGGGTTTGATTGTTTTCAGCGCACTTAGACAACGCCTGGTTGTCTTCTGGTCAGTCGCTTAGGTAACTCAAAGGCAACTAGGTATCAAAACACTTCTGTTCGAAGGCAACGCCGTTTCCCCCATAACTCAAAGAAAGAAAACAAAATCCTGTAGCGCAATCTCCGCCCCGAGTGGTATCAAGTGTAGTGTGACAGTCATCCTGCCCTTTCGAGGCCGACTAATTGTGTCAAAATCAGGAGACTTGCCCCTGATGATGGCTGCCATCTCCGTGATCTGGATCATCAGGCCCAGGTCGCATGCTCTCATGTTTGACTTTGCGATACTTCCACTTACTGATGGCGCGCCGTGGACTCATAGCCTTCTTGAACTTGGTCCAGGTCCCATCCTTTTTCGCCGATGCCGGTGGCAGCTCGTACTCGCAGTCTTCGAAGGGATTCTCTCCGTGATCGTGACCGTGCTCACGATCCCAATCCCGCGCAGCCTGCTCATTTTGCTCTCTAAAGTCTTCTCCAAACGGGTTGCTCTCAGCATATGAGTAATCGTCGTCATCAAACGGGCTCGCCGTTCGCCGCCGGAATGTGGGGCTACGCAGGGATGGGGTGGCGGATCTCGGCAGCCAGGAGAATCGCCGTTGAGCGTCCGCGACCGGCGGTGTGGGTTCTGGAATTATCGTGGTAGTCATCATGGTGTTGATTGTGTGTCTCCTCGTCGGTGCCGGCTAGACGGATATCGCTGTCAGTTTGGGATACTCAGATGGTGCACTGGCGTTTGCCGAGTCATACAGGTGTTGAGATCTGAGCTTGAGAAAAGGCGGTGCTTTTCTCGTCAATGTCCATTGATGGGGGCCTCATCTTGTCGTCAGGGTCGCACTCGTAGCCGTTGAGCATTGTGCCAGTATACAGAAGCAGGGAAAAGCGAAGACGGATTTGCTTCGCCCAACTTGCGCAGACTATGAATACTGCAGGCTTTCTTTTCTGTGCGCCTGGCACTCGTAAAATGCCTCTTGATCACAACGAAGAGAAAGCTGGGGGCGGGGTACCGGAGGGCGCGAGCGGATATGGCCAGCCACGTTTATGTACGTACGGAAAACAATGTTTCAAGGGATGCCGAGTCATTGATCTCATGTTCTAGGCTTCATTTGGCTTTTCATTCGATCTTGTTGCATGGAACACCATAAATGATGGGTCTTTCTTTCTCTAAGGGAGGGGTAAAACCCAGTGTGTCTCCTCAAACATGAGACGTAACCCGTCGATGCGCTTTATGGCCTCTGGGTCGCCGGCGGTGCAATCGTGTTACTCCCAATGCACTGTGTGATCGCCTGGAAAGCGGAATAGTTATGGAGACTAGTTCGTGGGGAAATCCATGTTGGCAAGACTTTGTTGGCACTCAGCAAATGGTGGAGGCGGGAGTAGTTCCTATTCCCAGCCGTGTCATCCGGGATGGTCCCATCCGCTCCGGAGGCGATCAGTAAGGTGTCTGTGGGGCCGCCCCCGACTTACATGGGCAACCCATCCAAAGATCCGGCGCTGCCAGCTGTCGATCACGGGCTAGTTCCGGTCGCAGACCGCACTTGCCTGGCGAGAACTGGGACTATCGTGGCATGAAATCCCATCCTCTTTTCCTCTCCAACCTCCTCCTCTGGTTCGCATGATCAACTCTAAACAACAGCGCAAGTCGTTGACATTGCACAGCCACGTTTGGCTGGAACCCAAGCTCGGATACGTTCTGCATATCAACCATTGTCTGTTCTCCAAAGGAAGAAGACCTTTTCGACAGGAGGATCATGCAGGAGAACACAATCGACGGAAAATGAAGAATCTAGAAGCCACCTGATTCGTTCACCTACCGCCATGCATGGCAACTCTGACGCAAAGATGGGAATCTGCCAGTCTCCATCTACCCCGGCACTCCCGATCTAGTCTGTGCGCTGACAAACATCCACATCTATCCATAGACGGATAGCGAAGATCACGGACCCTTTTCATCAGTGCAACTCTGTCTAGGAGCTAGTCAAGCTAGTGGATTTTACCAGTTCGCTTGATTCTCTTACCCGTGTCACCTCACAAGCCCACTGACCGAAACGCCAAAGCGACCAATATTCGACAGCCTCCCCCGGTCATTCCGGAAATTTTCGGCGATCATGAAGCAGCCTCACGAGTCACCTAGGACCCCCTTTTAAAGGAAGGGAAAAAACCCTTCCAGACCCCCTGCTCGTTGCCCCCCTTCACACCCTCTTCCACAACAAGTTGCCCTCTTCAAAACAAAGACAGATAGCATAGTTTGCAATAAAGACGCGTCCTGGTTCGACAATTTGCAACTGTCTTCCTTCCATGAGATAGGCTCTATTCCAAACTTTCAGACAATATGCCATTCAGGAAACACGAACGCATAGCGGACAAGTCGTTCGAAGACAACACAGCCTCAACGTATGCGGGCGGCAATAGCAACGAGAGAGTCTCTGATGAGAGGGTCTCGAATGAAAGCGATATCGAGGCCGGCGTTCAAGTAAAGCCTGCCGGATCTCACCAGAAACAGCCAACGGATAGCCTCAGTGGACATCAGATCTTTTACATCTTTGGTCTCGACGGTATTGGAGCCGCAGTTCTCTCTGGGGGCATAAATTTTGCTATCGCTTACGGTAAGGCCCCGCAACACTTTGCTGAGCTTAAGCTTTTGGTGAACCAAGCAGCAACATGAGAGTTTATTGACACAAACCATGCAGGCATGTACTCAACTCAGAACATTGCGCGCAATCCCATTCGTCTATTTCAGTTACCCAATACACTAGCTGGGGATGCAGTAGTGACCATGATCATCCAAACGACAATGACGTGGTTCATCGAACTTTTTCTCGCCAATCGCGACATGAAGAACGGTGGCGTCCGCCCGATAGGCTTCATCAAAGAACCTTCGCAACCTTTCATGCGGTGGTTCATGATGCTTAATCTAGAAGACACGAGGCACATCAAGAGCAGGCTTTCGGTGTTTGCAGAACACCTAATTCGAATTGGGTTGATTTTTGTTGTTTCATTCTTCCTGCTATGGCCAGCCTCGGTCGGAATTTTGACCGTTATCGGAACTCGGGGATCAGGGAATGATTGGGATTGGTATTTCCAATCCAAGTGGGCACCGGAAGCCTTCAAAGGCATCCTTGGAGGACTTCTCGCCCTTCTCACAACGCCGGCCATGGCTTCATTCTGGCTTGTCAAGGAGGGTTGGAGCTTGAAGAAGGGAGGGAATCTGTTGAGTTGACGGATAAGTTTTCCAGACGACTTTGGAACAGGGAAATAGCTTGGCGTTTGACGGAACATAAATTTTCTTGTCGCTTTAAAACCCTTCCCGCGACTCGCACCGTTGTTTGCTGACTCGCTATAACACACTATAAGTTGTAAGAAGTACCCGATAGGCAGTGAGGCGGATGAACCATAAACCAACACGAGGTTTGTTCCTCCCTCTCCCGGCTGCTATTTTTGGCTCGCACAAAATCCGCAAACAGTTCATCCCTAATTTTCGACCCGGGATGGCTAAATCCTTACTTCCTACAGAGGCCTCAGTCTAGTGAAGCAATCTCCTGGCTTGTTGCAAGAAATTCTATACTAAAGCCTTATACAGACGATAAAGGTATATGTCGCAACGCCACACGTGGCGCTGCCCAATTACTGCCGTACGAGACCGCTTACTACGAGACGAGTGCCCTCTTCGTACGGTATATAGATACGACCCCTTACGGGTCCCGTACTTAGAGGAATCACGCCATTTTCTACTGTATATGTCTTCCACTTGGATCCTCGCTTTGTAATAGTACATAACTGAATTGGGGAATGATACGTGATATTATCCTTTGAAATTATTCCTACGAACTGGTGGACGGACTCAGATTAGGCCAGATCCTGATCAGCAAACGACACATGCTAGAAACTGGCCGCAATCTTATAATTTGCAATCGGAAGCTGCTCCATTTTGCAGTGATCTAGCGCTTTTTGGGCACTTTCCATATGGCTGAAGTTAACGGCCCGATGGTCCCCTCATAGTTTGTGTTGCACAGCCACTGCACCTCTGATGATGACAACCAGGGCAGTAGGCATCAATTTTACAATTGTTAGGTCCACTTGAACAGTTGTGCTTGTCACTTCTGTTAGTCAACAATGTCTAATCTGTTTTGGATTTCAGGTGCTCCTGCTTACACAGTACCAGACTTCAACTTTAAGGGTCTTTGGGCCCCTAGGTTTACTGGTTGTCCTTGGCGCGAACGTAGATGAACTGCTAGGAACGGCCCCACGAGTGCTGCTTTGGTTTCTTTGAGTATTTTCATTGGAGGCTTTCTTGGCTTCAAATACTGGCAATGGTGCTGACGATTTCCGTTTGCTGTGTGATGGATTATATTCGGTTGTAAGAGAAGGGGTGATTTCCAGATACTTTTCTAATGTATCATTTGTTGCGCCTTTCAATAAGCTATTTCGTATGCTCCCTAGTTTGTAAACAGAATACGTCAATATTACTATACGGCTGTTGGAGGACTTAGCCTACCTTGATTCGCAGCAGAATGTCCGGATGCGTCTGCCCCGGACTGTCTATGGGCTTGAGACTGTGACAAAGGCCTCTGAGGGCTGTTTTTCGAGAGCAGGGGAAGATGAGGAAATGATTCAGAGATATTCTGTAGCAGATCCTGTGCCGTTATGAACATCGCCATAGGCTGATTCGGGTAGAAAGCAACGATCATCCCTGCAAAGGCTGACCCTTTGACCAGCCATGTACCTGAAGTGCCGCGTGCTAAATTAAGACTCCAAGTCAATATCGGTAATCGTTTGCATGTCTGGTAAACTTAGTACCTAATGGCGCCGAGAGTTGTATTCTCCTGACTGTTAGGTGATCTCCTCGCGCAGAAGGCATTGTTGAAATACCAGGGAGCAGCATGGCCTCCTTTACTTCGCCCTTAGCAAAGACCATAAGAAGAGCTCCCTCCGTGAGCTGATCGTTCTTCAGGCTCGATGTGATCTCGTCTGGGAAACGCCCTGAGGCAGGGTTCTGCCAAGAGGTCGCATTGCGGAATTCGGCTAGATCTGTCGAAGTCAGGAGAGCATAATCGCTTGGCTCAGAGCTGTCCAAAGGTCCACCAGGGAATCGCTGCTTGGCGAATTTGAGTCCGACAACCTCTTCAATTGCCATCCACTTGTACACCGTTGCAGGGTCTCTTTTCCCTAGACTCTGTTCCTCTCTCCAGGCTAATTGGATAGATTGTGCATCCCCATCGTCTGATCCTCGGCCATCGTCGTCAGAACTAGAGTCGGAATCTGATTCGGATGCAGAAACAGTGATAAAATCATTGATATTGCGTGGCAAGTTAGATTCGAACGAGAAGCTTGTGACATCCATCAACGGGCTAGCGGTGTTGTCATCCTGCCGAATGTAGTCGAATATGCCGTGTGACGTCGTCATTGCGATGGGGACATCAATATTGTTGAACGACTCGAAACCGTTGGCCAATAGCCCACCAACTCTTGAGATTCTTTGCCCGATCAATTTGTTCTCTTTGAGGATTGTAGAACAACATAGTAAGCCACAGGCTGACGAATACCTATTAGTCCGCTGATCAGCCTCAACGTGATGAATTATGGTCATTTCTCCATATCTCAGCCCTAAACCTTTCTCCATATCTCGCCGTAGCTGAGGAAGAGGAATAAAGGCCTCAGTAGCGTTGAACTCAGGGGCTTTCGCGTGGATCTCCACTCGTGAGCTTGAGAGGTTTCTTGCTATTGATCCTGCCAGACCTCCTTTAAGAGCTTTTCGCACCATATCTCGAAACTCCTTACTTCCACATAGAATCCAAATGCAGGGAGAAATGATGACTGTTCTCTTGAGGCGTTTTTGATGCCCCGACATCCGGATTTCCACGTGCAAATTCCTTCGCGTAGGTCGTTGTTTGTGATAACTGGTTTCTTTGGCTTGTTTTTCCATCATCTCATTCTGAGTCTCTTTCAAATTGATCAAAGTCTCCTCTCTTATCTCCTCCAACCTTGATTGAATATGTGAGGGAACGGGTATCTCAGTTCCGTAAGCCACCCATATTCGCTCATCCCACCGCCAGCTTTCCTCCCACAGCCATAGCTTGGAGGAGGGGATAGGTAACAGATGCTCGTCGGCTGAGAGGCTATCTGTCTGAGAGCTCTCCATGCTAAAGATGCGTGAGTGGCCATCACTCGGCGGTAGAATAGCGTCCGAGACAACAGAAACATGTGCTTGGGCCGGACGTGAGATAGGCGAACCCTCGGTTGAGGTGGCTGGCGACAGTATGCTCTGGTCTAGAGGATCCAATGCATTACTGAGCCCCCCAGGTGCTTCTGTATGTAGTGTCGTTCTGTTCAAAGAAGATGCTGTGGTGAAATGTCTAGAAGCATCAGCGTTCTTATTCCTACTCGTTATGGAGCCGCGTTTCTTTTGGTTGAGACGATGCGCATCTCTATGAAGGAGCCCAAAATTCTTATCTCGGGAAGCAAGTTTATCCATGTCATCCATTTTCATGAAGACGAAGATTAATGTTGTCGAAAAGGGCTCATTCGTAAAATAGCAACGGGTGATAGCGAGAGAGCCAGGAAAACGTATGTACGTGTCTGTGGAAGGGGCTCCGACGCGAGATAGAATACATTGAAGGCTTGCTCTCTGGAGACATTTGATCGGAGTCAAGAGAAGCGCGGGAGGGTCGATCAGCTTGAAGTGGTGCTCTTGGTGCGCCCGCAAGGCAGAAATTTGCCTGACATGCAGCGTTGGGCTTACGAGCTCCGTCATCGCCGAGGGGCATATGCAGCCCAAGCCAATGATGAGAACGAAGTCTGTATTCGCACATGCAGGCTTGCCCAAGATTGATTTTCATTAAGTGGTCGGGAAGACACCTAATTCAGGCTGTGTACAGGCTGTGCAATGCTACAATGACACACCAGGGATATGTTTGTTCTCCCCCTCAAGTACCTTATCTTTGTGTCAATCCCGTCTCAATCGGTTGAGAACTGCACCCGTCGTATGGCATATTTGGCGTTCATTGCTACCCGCAACGAACGACGTCGTTTTTGCGACACACCCTGGTTTTCTTATGAACATGTTCGGCTTGTCGAGGACAAAAGCTTCCCCCTCCAAGTTGCCCCCGGGGGACTTAGAACAAGTTGAGATTTGTACACGAATTTGGCCGGCAATGTTGACCAGCATTTTCGGTCCTGAACACTATGTCAGGCTTTCGAGCCATGCAACAGATAATATAAGCGGGGCTTGGCGAACAAAACCGCTGTCTTCGCCTGGTGTCGTGGAAATCGACAAAATGAAGGCTATCATGACCTGCGTACGAGATTTGGTGGATGAAACAATTGATGATATCATTGAGAATTTCAAGGATGTCGGGGAGGATAATGATCGGCTGAGAGAGATAGTATCAATTGCAGCTTCTTTGGTCACCATGATGAAGATTCGGCTTTCGACACTACCGCAGCCGGAACCGCCAATATTATGGACCAAAGGATTGTCCTTAAGGCAGGTGATCGCAGGAGCTCTTCAGAGACAATCTCCAGAAGCAATCCATGGCATCATTGACTACAAGTTTACGTTAAGTAACCTAGCCGTCTACTACAACTGCCAAGTCCTATGGACGGATCGACTGGACCGGCATTTGGAAATCGAGATCAACCGGCGAACAACCATCGTCATGGTATACCAACACAAGATATGGCTCTCGGCGCACTCAAGACAGGCAGAAAACTGCATAGTGCCACACGACATAATCTGTGAAGCTTTGGATACTCTCAATCTTCTCTTCCCGCACAACGATCGCTGCACAGAGTCCTTTCTCAGGAAGCAGAGACAGATATTCCACCACTTGGGCTACTGCGGTCGAGAGAGGAAACTTGACTTAGAGAGTTATCCTTACTGGGGGTGCAAGATCAAGAAGCTCATTGAGATCTCTGAAGGCAAGAGGAGCGGAATTTGGCAATTCCTTCCTGACTCTAAGGGATTCAATTTGATAGAGTCGGCCAACTTCTGGATCGCAACTGCAGCCGCTTTCCTCGCATTTATAGGATTTGTACTCGGCCTTACGTCTATCGTGTACGCGAAGTGGTCGTACGACGTCGGTGTCAAGTCAATGGCCATATCAGAGGAGTCGCTCGACTTGACGAGACTCCAGTATCAGCTCTCCCTGGCTCAAGCGTGCTCTGATCCAAATGAAGCCAGGCTGCTACCAGACTTCTGTTCGGCGGAAGCTTGAGGATCGAGATGAGGATAACGAGAGCGTTTTCAATGCTTTTGGGACGCTACGAATTTGTTCTTTTATCCTAGGACGGACAAACATCATCCCTCGCATGCCTTTGGAAGCTGGAAACGTGTTAGCATTCGATTTGGACGTCACATAGCAATCAATGGAACTGGACTGGGGTGGTTCAGCAGAATGTTCGCAAAGCATTGATCGCAAGACTATATATGTCCTTAAAAGGTGGAGTTAGACATGGGCAGCGTCTGAAGTATACGTGGCATAAGGTAGTGGAGGATTGTTGAATGCCTGGTTTCGGCAAGAACGCGAGTTCGAAGTTGGTGAGCCTACATGAACTCACAGGCAGCTCATGTTCGCGTCACATTCGGTTCTTCTTCATTTTCAATTCACACCCTGATCCCTTTCTACTTATCCCTTCTTGAAAGTTATGGACGTTTAAGAGTGCACGCGATGTTTCGGACAAGGGGCAAATTAGTCCACAAATCCCCCTGGCCTTGGCGTATTCTTCGGTGTAAGCCTGCCGATTTTCCACCCGGTCTGGAACTTTCTGCAGGTAGAGCTATGCGACAAACGAACATCGAGTTCTTCCTAGGTAGTATCTTGGCTGATCTAGACTCGGAACGACACCATGACGGAACTATTGATGACAATTATGTTCATTACGAAGCTCACCCCAACTTGAAAATATGTACACTCATTACGACCTCTCAACATCCCCTAATCGCTTAACCCCAACGCTTTCCCAAAGCATCATAAACAGTCTGGTTCACAGGCAAAACACCACCATGCCTCAACCCACTAGGGAACCCAGTCCGCGAACTAGCAGTCCACCCCGAGTTACTCGCCACATTCGTCGTCTCATACGGCCTGTACCCATCATCACCGTAGAAATCAAGCAACACATGCGCCTTGCCCGCAACCTGGTTATCCCAGTACGACGCAGGGCCCTCGACACCGCTGGCGATAACAGCAGAGCTGCCGCCGGGACGGGTCCAGGTGCCGAAGAGACCGGTGGTGGAGACCTCGACGAAGACGGTCTTGAGGGACTCGTCCTTGAGGAAGCGCACAAAGGACTTGCCGTCGGTGCCGGTGGGGAGGATGTTGAGGTCGATGATGTTGGTGGGGGACTTGTCGATGTAGGTCTGCGGGGTGGAGAAGGTCTTGAAGTCCGAGGTGTAGGCGTAGCGGATCACGATGGCGCCGGGGCTGCCGGTGTGGTTCGGGTCTGAGGCGGGGTACTATGCACGCCGTGGTTAGTTTTCAAGAGCCTCGAGGACAAGAAGCATGGTGGTGGACTCACAAACTTGGAGGCCCAGTGGACGAGGTACTGGCCCTTGGCAGCATCCCAGATGGCCTCGGGAGCCCACACCATGCCGGCGCTAGAGTTCTCGACGACAACGAGTCTCTCGTTGCTCCAGTTGACGAGATCCGTGCTCTCCCAGACGAAAATGCCCTTGGACCCCTGTCTCTGGGCCGCATCCCAAGTAGTCTGAGTAAAATCACGATAAGCGCCAGGGTTCCCCATCAGAGAGTCATGAGCAGAAACATACCTTTGCGATGTCCAAGTCCGTACCGACAATATACCACTTCTTGCCCTTCTCCGCACCACCGCCTACAACGATAGCAGGATCACGCACGCCACCCGTTCCCTTGGTCGGCCGAATTACAGGCGAACCAGAGTTGAGCGCGCGGAACGAGGTCGGGTTGTTGCCGTTGGAGAGGTACAGGTACACGTAAGGGTCCGCGCCGAGGAAGAAGGCACCGAGGTAGCCCGTCAGACTCGGGTCGGCGCGAGGCGCGAGGGAGGTGCCGCTGAAGTCGAGAGACTGGATGGGCGAAGCCTGGACCGAGGTCGCGGCCAGGCTTGCACCAAGAAGGAGGAGGGATTTGAGGGAGGGCATCTTGTGCAAGTGAGGTAAGGGGGAATGGGAGGATGCTGAGGCACACGAGAAAAAGAACAGGTTCGCAATGGTTCTGGGACGTCGAGTCCTTTTATCATGATTATTCGGGAGCTGTCAAACCCACATAGATTGACTGACACACCCCGCAATCTGGGGAAACGCAACGTCGTGTCTTGACCATCGTCATAGGTGTGGTGGGAATAGGCCCTGTCGTTCTCATCTTGGACAAGCGTCGTGATGGCGGGGCGGGTATCGTCGCGCGACAATAATAACGGCGAAGCTGTCGGCGAAGACACCCCGAGATGGAGATGCGCTACAGCTTAGTCTAGCCCAGTTACGAGAGGCGCGCCCGAGCGAACTGGCCCCCGCCACGGCCGGCGCCGAGGTTAAATCAAGGTTTCTCTGGCTCGTAACTGGCGACTGCTCGGCCATCCCACACTGCCGTTGCAGTACCGCACTGTCACCACGGAACGTGCCAAGGGGCGCTAGAGTTTTCCCGTCGCTGGAAGATCTGCTTCCAGTGTCGTGTTGAGGGCAACCCAAGGCGTGACGGGAGATGCAAGGCACCGGGGACTTCGGGGCCGGGTCGCGCGTGGATTGCACCCACCGAATAGACGGTCACGAGGGTCATCACGAAATAGGTACGGATAGAGTGGATAGAATCAGACCATATTTGTACCTTATGGTTTTCAATCAGAAAGCTTGATAAGCTGGGCGACCGACTCAAGCTGAGCTGTATATGCTCGAATCAGGGAAATTAAGTCACCGCTCATCCCATGTGTTTTCGGCCCCATCAATATTCTCGTGTCTCCAGTCGTTATCAACAGGCACATGGCAACACACTGCCAGGCACGGCCAGACGTGGTTCCTCCGAAGTAAACGAACAGGGAAACGTCGACTAAAACAGAACCTTAGAAAGAGGGGCGGACCACACGACTCTCCCCAGAAAGAGGCAGAATTGGGGATGATCCAGGTGCCGGGAGATCTCAGATACGACGTCAGTTGGCGTGTGGGGTTAGGCGTAGTGCCGAGTCCTATTTTCATTGGTGCGCATGTTTGAGTAGAACACCGGACCGAGGGGTAAACAAGAACTTGTTCATCGTTCAAGAAACGGCGTGCGCTGGATGGAGTCAAGTGTGGATATAAATATACCTCGGGGCTACGAGGAATCCAATGGAAATATATACTCGGAAGATAGATGGTGCAAAAATGAGTATGTACACGTGAAAATATGGTGAATGGAACTGGGAAATAAAGCGCGCCACGTGCGCTCCTCGACTTGGGACACCCTGCCTCGAAACCCCACTCAGAGACACTGTCAATCGCGTTAATATCATCATCATCTCCTTTGAACGACGTGCTAGAGAGATTGGGGCAGGAGATATGAAGAAAAGCAAGGCATCCGTACCTGAGAGTAATAGGCGTCCTTAACGGTGCACTTCAACCCAGTAGCACATTGGAAGCTGCCATTCCATGTCGATCCACCGCACTGCCCGTAAAGCGGCTGCGCTGTCGAGGTTGCGAGGGCAAGAATCTTGGCGGCGGCGTGTTCGGCCGAGACCACAATGTACGATGACGGGTTAGTGGTGACCATCCCGGGGAAGATGCTGGCATCAACGACGAAGAGGTTGTCTGTGCCGTACACCTTAGTGTTGACGTCAACGACAGAATCGCCTTTGCTGCGACCGTCGCTCGTACCGAGTTTGTTCGTGCCTTTTCCGAGATTGTCTGTCAGCGATTTTGATGTGCAGACGGGTCTGAGTTAGGAGAGAGTGCGGGGAGTCAACTTACCAATCCAGTGGTTTGCGCGACGGTTCGAGTACGAGACTAGCATATTGTTGACATAGTCTCTGACCGTCGTACCCGGCGGAGGGAAGTTCCAGACAAGGTTGGCCACGCTCTTTAGGGAGGTCTGCAGGTTCTCGAGACCCTTGATGACGGCCTCGACATCATTTTGGTCGCGGAGGTAGGGTACGGTGGATACGACGGTGCCGAGATTGGCCTGAATGGTCATCCTGCCGCGTGAAGTCGCGCCACGGCCGAGGTATTGGCTAATAGTGATGGTTTCTGTGGAGCGTGTTAATGTTTAGACATCGAATAATGGTGAGCCTGGAAAGAACACTTACTGCCGTCGGGGGCCCCGAGACTGCCCTCCATACGGGCCGTGTACTGCATCTGCCGAGTGATGCCATCGGCACCCTTGATCTCCTCGAAGAAACTGGGATGGCATTAGCGCAAAGGCAACGGATATCAGCGAGTGACATGGTTAACTTACAGAGGGCCAATATTGGGTGCAGACTGGGCCAGAATGCCGCTTCTCTTCTGCAAATAGAGGTTCTTGTCCGTGACATTGGGGTCAGTGTACGCTTCGTAGAAGTCGTAGAACTGCACGTCGGGATGCGTGACGACGGTATCAGTCTAGACCCAGTCAGCTTCAATCTTCAGATCTTCCAAAGTTCTCAGTGGGACCCACGTTGGTGTGATCTTCCAGGTTGTATCCGACAGGCAGGTTGATCCAAGATGCATTGGAGATCATGGTAGGCCCGTCAGTGGAGCTCTTGACGATCTCGAGCTGATCTTGTGGGCCAATGCCGCTGCGAAGGAGAAGCTTGGCACTGCCAAAGGTTCCTGCGGACAGAATCACTCGGCCCGAGATGTTAGTCACATTGACCGTTCCGGTGTATCCACCGTCCAGGTACGGCTCGACTTCGATGCCAGTGATGTGCCCGCCAGTCCGAACAACACGTTTGACGGCCGTCTTGGTCCACAACTTAAAGTTGCTGCGCTTGCTTGCTGTGAGAAGGTATGTCGCCATGGGGCCACCGCGTTCCCCACCAGAGTACATGTACGGCGTCTTGCCGAACGTGCGGTTCTTGGAGTTTGGGTTCGCATTAAGGTCAAGTTCCGACCATCCGGCAGTGCGAAGTCCGCCGGCAATAGCATTGAAGCCATTCGTCAGGTAGACCTTGCCGTCTTGAGATGGTGTCGTGGTACCGGGGATGCGAGAGAAGACCCGACTTGTGGCGGCAGCGACATCGGTTGACTTCCATCCGGCCGGGAAGTTGTAGTCCCAGTCCTGGGCATATGGCTACAAGATATTAGCATCAACGTCAATTCCATCGGCCGAGAGACACAAACCTTCCACCAAAGAGCAGCGTTAATGGCGGTGCCTCCACCCAGAACACAACCCGCCATCTGATCGGTATCCTGGCAGGCAATGCCGGCAGAATCACGCCAGATCTGGTTGCAAAGACCAGGGACATCGAACCTGGTCAGGTTGGTACCCTCTAGCCAGGTCGGCTTCATGGTGCCACCCCATCTGCCGGAAGATGGCGGCCCCTTCTCGATCAATAAGACGCTCTTGCCAGCCTCACTCAGCTTGTCGGCCAAGGGAATGCCACCAGCTCCTGCTCCAATGACAATGTAGTCGTACGTGCCAGAGGGAACCGGAACACCGGTAGGTCCAGCCGCAGTGGTGGTAGAAGGTGGCGCCGAAGTTGTAGTGGCGCCGCCACAGCTTCCCGTGACAGTCTTGGTCGCCAAAGCGGCCCATGCAGAGTACGAGGGGTTCGCAGCGTTGGCATCCAGAGCGGCGCCATGGATACCTTGGTTGTCGTGCTGAACCAGGTTGATCGAAGCAGGACACGTGGGGTTGGTCGGGCTGGTGAAGGCCTGCGCCCATCCTAGAACGAGAGAGCCCGCACTCGTCGAGACACTGCCAGTGGCACCGTTGTGGTTCCAATTGAAGCAGTTCTGGCACCGGTAGATGAGGGTGTAGTGTGTCGCATTAATGGTGGACGAGATCTGTGTGAGCTTGGCGTCGCCTGCATAGACGTCTGGCATCACGTAGCCCGTTGCCCAGCGGAACGAGGTCAAGATATCGGAGCCACTAGGCCATGCCATGAGAAGTAGCTTGTTGGTCATCGATCCGCCAAGAGAGATACCGCACCAGCCAGTGCCCTGGCCGTTCTTAGAAGCGCATTGCTAGACGGACACCGTCAGTCAGTGAGGTGGGCGACGGGCTGAGAAGACCTACGAGATAGCCAACGAATTCGTTGGCGTCCGTCGTCAACGCATTTTGTGGCAGAGCGAAACCGTATGTCATGCCCCCGGCCGTTTGAGCGCTCGTTGCGGACCAAGTGTCGAAGATGATGCCGGTTTTGGAGTCGGTCAAAACAACCGGTGTCGGGGATTGGGCGGCAGCTCCATCGAGGACTTGAACAGCATGTTAGTAAGTAAATCATCCTTGATGCTGTCAAAAACCTACAAGATGTTGTGGCCAGGAGTGCTGCCAGAGCACCAGAACGACTGAAGAACTTCATGGTACCGGACGTCGAGGTCAACACAGGTCTAGCAACCAAAACTTCGGATCCTGCCTTCGCCTTCTGGGAGGGCAAGAGACGATTTAAAGGAACAGTGACATTTGCCAAGTCCCAACACCTCCTTGGACGCTGTCTCTCTCGCCGCCATCCCGGGACCTACTGCTTTCTTCTTTCAGATATCATACCCTGGAGTTGGCAACTTCTGCCACATGACCACAGGCATCCAGCATACGGCTTGACCAGTGATATCTCCCGTGATTGTGGATGGATGCATGGTTTGCAACTGCACCGATAGGAGGAAATGTTTGTCAAGGGGGTCCATCACAGTATGGGGAGAGCGGCATAGGTTGTCGAAAGTGGTGGGGTTGTGCCTCTTTCCAACGGAATGTAACAGTGCTGAATTGCCTTTGTTGGTCAAGCCTCATGACCGGGGTTGATCCAGGCACCTCAATCTACCAGAGGCAGCGGGAGAAACCAGCAATCAGATGAAGGGGCAAGGGACGGGATGAAGCGCTGGACGCGGGGGACTCGGGTGTTTGCACATGAGACGAACCAGCACGCGAGAAAGAAGAAACAAAAGCTGGGAAAGAAAATCAAGAAGAAGAAAGCGTCGATAAAGCCTCAACTTGTGCTTGACGTATCTGAAAGTCATGACACTTGACAGGAACACCGCGAGTCTGGATACATCAAGATGCAATGTCTTGGACAGTGAAGTGAGGTCGAAACAGGCGTGCAGGGCATTGCCAGGAACGGAATGCGGAGGCAACAAGACGCAGCCCCACGTTGCGGTGCGGCATTTCGATCCGGGCTTCCCAAATCGACGGGGGTCTAGCCGGGGTCGAGGGGCGTCAGCTGGGACTTCTTGGCTTTCTTGTCAGGAGAGAGGATCATCAGGATGCAACCCTCGAGGGCACTGGAGACTTGGGCTTCTCGCTGTCGATGCGTCTTTGGAAAGCCCCTGTATCCGTACCGAGACAACGCCACTGGCTTTGGCACGAGATTGCGGGGGGGGAAGGCGACAAGCAAACGCATATGTCAGTTTGTCGATATCCCAGGCGTTTGGTGCGGCGGCGCACAGTGTCTTGCTTTTGGGTTCTTGTGTGAAACGAGTCCAGGCCAGACGACTCCCTCGAATGCGGTGCGAGGTATTCGTAAGAATTATTCAGCTAAGGTGTGATGACACGGATTCGTGCATTTTCGTCACTCTGATCCGTTGATGGATTCGTACGTAGTCATCAACAAGCAAATGCAGCCGGCTAATTTGACAGGTCGCCTGCCGTGTATTGTCATGTTCCATTTCGGTACGCGGCGATGCGACAGCGCGGTACTGACTCAACCGAAGCCAAGGGCGACGACGAACTGGCGACAACGCCGATTGGAAGAACCAAATAACGCAACGAGAAGGGGCGGTGGAAATGGGAGGTCACATAGGCCCAATTCGAGTCGTGGAGGGCCCGTAATATATGACTTTTGGGTGCCTGCGACCCGCAACAAGAATGCGGGATTGAGCTCCGAGTCCGTAAACGTCAGGTCGACGAGGGTCTTTTGTTCGGTCGCCGGTACAGCCAGATGGAGGTTCTTGTAGGATCATGAGTGTGCGGCAATCTCGTGGTTCATCTTCTTCGAATGAGATGGATGCGACGACGCCATGCAGGCTGCGTATTGATGAGCTGATGATGGGTCATCAGATCCCAAGCCGGATCTCTCGATGTCGATATTCTGGCCTAGAAAGACATCGCCATTGTCTTTGGGTGATGTTGGAATATGGAAATCAACGGGAAAAACACAAGTTGTGTTGGGGTAATGTGGAGGATTCGTAAACCGTGCAGAAAGCAAGAGGTAGACTTTGGACGACACCTTCCAGACAGGGGAAGTCGCTTCAAATTGGGGGGAAAGTGGCGCGAACGTGGCTTGTCGTTTGTACACAGTGCGTTCTTGGCGACTCCAACTCAGGAAAGTTCGTCCGAAAGGGAAGGGAGGAACGAAAAGGAACGAAGGCTAAGAAGCAACGTCGTTTTTTCAGCCCAAAACACCAAACCTTTTCTCACCAGTGCAAGATAGGGCTGTAGTTGCGACAAGAAGCAAAAGATGATCAGTGGGAGGCTTGAACTCCCGGCCTTGGCATTACACAACATTTCAGGTGAAATATTAGTACCACGCTCTAACCAACTGAGCTAACCGACCAGATGGGGTGCCGTGATTGGCTGATGACCTGAAGACCGAGCTAGTCGATTATGATGCTCAGATTCGAAATGTCAACTCTTTCGCTCGAGTCTAAAGACCACTATCGTGACAAGAGGGATGGCAAGAAATCAGGTGTTTCTCTTTGGATGAACTCAATTGTGCAATCTATTCTACACCTTTAGTATGCAAAAGTACAACAGCTGCCCCTCTCCGAACCTCTGGTATTTTTTCGACAAAAACAAGAAACACTAGAACCTCTGCTCTATCGTGGCCACCAAAACGCCTGCTACCTATGCCGCAATGCCCGCTATGCAAGTTCTAACAAATGACCCAGATCTAAAAAGCTGAAAAAATTATGATGTGACAAATGAAGAATGCCGGAAAAGCATAGGAGATAAAATTATGATGTGACAAATGAAGAATGCCGGAAAAGCATAGGAGATAACAACAGCGACCCATCCCCGGTCTATGAATCGAAGATGGCGCCGTATGCGGGAATACCTCTGCTCTCAAGTCCATATACAACCTTCCTCGTCACCTTTTGGTTCGAAATGATGACAACAGCTTCGCAGGGTCCCATCTTGTTCTTGTTCGTCTTCGTCGTGACAACACCCTCATTCTGCGCAAGACCAAGAGCCTGGCGACGACTACTCTCCCAGATGCGGTACGTAATCGCGACCAAGTCAGGCCGGCCCGTCTTCTTGGTATCGATGATGACGGCGTCCGGGTCGGCACGGTAGAGCGCATCGATGACGCCCTGTCCGTATGTCTCGGCCGGCCGCTGCGTCGACCAGATGATGCGCACCGGGTGATCTGGCCTCTGCACGAAGAGACTTAGGCACGGTCCGATCCCCGAACCTGTAGCGATGACGATGCACGGCTCAAAGAGACCGGCCACGCGAAGAACGCCGTACTGCGGGACGCCACGGGTCCAGATCTTCTTTGGTGGGTTCTTGATGATCTTGTTGGTCCAGTCGCCCGCATTCGAGACGAGAACAGAGAAGCCTTTCTTGCCAGCGTTGGAGAGCCCACCTGTTGACTGGGCCTTTTCGATGTCGGTGGATGGGGCGGCGGGATTTGGGATCACGGCGAAGGCGTGGGTCTCGCGGAGGGGCGCGTCGGTGAGGCGGACGGCTTGGCCGTAGTGGACGTCTGCGTAGTTGAAGTTGAGCTTGACAACGTGGTCTGACATGGCCTCGGCTTCGACATCGCGCAGGCGGAGTCGGGTCCAGGGGTACGCGACCAAGAGGGTGATGACGATGAGCATCCAGAATGACGGCGTCAGGATGAGGGATACGGCGTAAGGAGTACCGGCCGTGGTGCTGTCGTCTGCGGCGAGCATCAGGACAAGGGCCCAGAAGAATACGATGACGGACCAGCCCAAGAAGCGATGAGTGCCCTCGAACCAATTGTGAAGAAGGACACGGGCCCTGGGGTGTGCGAAGCCGATGATGGCAGCGAGAAGGGCGCAGATGAGGTAGCTGTCGAGGAGGATGTAGGCTCGCACGGCGTTTGATGGGTTCTTGAGCTGGGCCGTGAGGACGACGAGGAACGCGACAAACCAGAAGAAGGAGGCCACGCCGCAGCCGCTGTGGATGCCGCCGTATGAGTAGATCTTGGCAAAGGTGCGGCGGATGCGGAGGGGGGCCTTCGCAGATGGGAAGAGGACGAAGAGTTTGAAAAGGGCGTTAACTGTGTGCTCGTTGCGGATGAAGAGGGCGGCGAGGATGTTTGCTGAGACGGCCGTGGCGCAAGTTTGGGGCGTGAGCGGGATGCCTCCAATAAGGGAGCGGATGATGACGAAGATGAGGGCGGCAATGTTTCCAAAGAACGCGAGACTGAAGATGCGTCTGTAGACGGAGCCGAAGTTCCAGCGCAGGTATCGGTAAGGACGGGTGCCCTTCTTTGAGGGAACGGGAATCTCGTCGTCTTCGTCGTCAGTGTCGTCGACTGAGCTACTTGATGCGGGAGGAGTCGGGGGTTGAGAAGGAGCGCCATCGGTGACTACTAGAGTATGCGTTGATGAGTTGCTGCTCGGCGGGAAGAAGACTTTAGTCGGCGGCGTCAAGGTGAGCTCGGAGTTGTTCTCGTCGCCGGTCTTGATTTGAAGGTCGTGGTGAACATTCTCTACAACAGGCACCGGTAGTGTGACTGAAGAAGACGTTGTGAAAGACATGGCTGATACAGGTTAAAGACAAGTAACTAACATTACTATCAGTGCCGTCCACCACCAACCTCGAAAGCTCATCAAATGTGACTTACGAAAGAGAATGAAAGAGTGGCTCTTCTACGTGGGTAGCAGATCCAAGTATATGAAATGCTACGACTGAGAGAGTGGCCAGTACGAGATAGATGGCCCAAAGAAGGAACTCTTGCACAGAGATGGAGGCCCGTGTGGAATAAGGAATGGGGAGATCGAAAAAGAAAAGAGGGCGAGCGAGATGATCAGAAAGCACCACTAGATGATGAGGTTTGATACTTGAATGACTGAAAGGAGACAACATCACGACTTGAGGGGGATTCGATGGTCTGATAAATACTCCCTTCATGATCCTCAGGGAATGTCTCTATCAACCCTTCACATGCCTTGGATCCTTGATCCCACGTGTGCCATGATGGGGCGCTTTCGACTACAATCGCATCCGAAATAGAGCCCCTCCAGCGCTGGGGTCTAGCCTCCCTCAAGGTGCCCAATTTGGATCATCGATGGTGGCATACGATGACCGTCGTCTCCGGGCCAGTCACGTGGGGTTGAATGGAAGGATTGAAGAGAATGCGGGCGGCGGCACGGTCAGCGGCATGGTTGCGTCCAGGGTCGATGTTCCCACGAGAGTGGATGCGGCCAAGCCGGGTGGCCGGGTCTCAAAATAGATGTGTTAATGGGAAAGTCAGATGTGGAAGTCCGCAGAGTACTTGGATTGGCTGCGCAGACATTGGTGACTGCCGTATACTCTCTTTTGCTCAGCGACGGCTCTGCCCTTGGCAGCGTGGCGCATCGAAGGGGATATCCTTAGTAACTAGTTGCATCATGGATGCAAGGCGTGGTCGAGCCCTGGTACCACGAGAAGCAAGACTTGACTGTTGAAAGACGTGAGGCTTGCAGCTAGCGCAGCCTCACATAGTTCACACAGGTCCCTTCACGGCGGCCTGATCCGAGATATCGGACACTTGTCAGATTGTCAGATGGATGTCATGCCACAGGCATCTGCCTGGAATTGGAAGTACAGGATGATGAAGAATGGAAGAGATGAGCAGTCAGTTCGGAGAGTAGAAAGCGGTTTGCTGTGCGCGCAATAGAGGAAAAGGGCTGGAGACTTCTCCCCCATCTGGCCATTGTCCACCTTCCACACGTCCCAAACGGGCGAGAATCCATCATATCTCGAGTTTTCCAGGATCCTCGACACGAAAAGGAGGTCCAACTGAGCTGAGGTGGATGCTTCGATGGAATGCTAACTGAAGACCCAAGACAACGTTTGTCGGGTTTTGGACTTCCGGAGACACTCACTCGACCGTTTGTTTTCGTGAGCCCAAAGGTGAACACACCGAGGCCGTCGAAACAGGCTCAATGGCCGAGAGTCAGCCTGTCAAAAGTGGATGCGTGTCTCGCCCCAAAGTTGTCACCGCGGGAGCTAAGCTTGACTTGCACTTACTCGACCGAGTCGAGGAATGGGAGATGTCGTCCCTGACTCCGATTATCTCTCGCCCTTGGCTACCGTGGATGCGCGGATGCGTACGTGAGTGAAGACGTACGAACCATGGGCTTGGCCCCATCTCACCACTCCTTCGCTCGCACGGCAGACGCCGAGATACACGGTCAGGTCCAGGAAAGTGATCCCGGCCGCTTGGGGATCCGCGCTAGTTCACTTCTCGAAGTTGTGGCTGGGAGGACTGGCATGGAGAAGTCAATGGGCGGCAGGTGGCATATCTCTCCGATGATGAGTGGGCTGGCTTGGTTCGCGGCACCTTTTTCTTGGATGAGGGGATGTGGCACGTAGAACGCCAGGCCGCTGGGAAATCTTCAACGTCGCGTAGCAAGTCGCATGTGGATGGACGCTGAAGAGCTGCACCGATAATCAACTCGTTGGCTCCGGTGGCAAGGCGAACTAGTGGCATCCTGTCGCTCGGATTCCAGCTGATGGCCAAGGTGAGCCAGTGTCTCACTGGGAAGAGGAAAAGCAAAGATAGAACCACCTAAATCAAGGAAAATGCGATGGACGGAGCGAACGAAAAGTTGACGGGGAAGGGAGGCCAGAGGAGGGCGAAGAGACTTGACTCCTCTTTCGGAAAAGCGTCTCTCTCCATGCGGCGCTTGAAGGCTCCGCCGGACAGAGGCCTAGCTACGTGACATTGGCTGCATTGTTGGCGGAACCCTAAAGTGCTTTGTTCGGTGGCATGGTGACAGGCGCTGGCGCGGTGCCATTTGGAGGAGCCGCCGAATGATTTGGCGCGACACCAAAAGGTAGTCATGCTGACGGGCAGGTATTTTGAGAACAGCGCGGCTGTCGGCTCTCGAATCGGGAAATCTGACTATTGTCTAGGTGAGTAGATCGTAGATGGATGACTTACGTCGCGTCTACCGGGCCCAAGACCCCAGGGCCGCAAGGGGTAGCCGAATCTGCACGTCCGAGGCGTGAACCAGCCACTTGGCGATGGAGCAAGGGAGGGAGGAAACAGAACGCCTCATTTTCCGCCTGTCGCCTGGCGAGGAGGCACATATCGGCGGCATTATCGAACGTCGCTTATCGTCATTGACCGATACCGTCTTGCCCTACTGCGTAGTCGAGTGCGACACGACCCGGATCAGCGTTCGTGACCTAGACCCAGGCGTGAATGCCCCGGGGAAGTTGAGTAATGGGTGCCGGCTGGGATGACTGCGGTGACTTGGCTGAGTCAATGGCCAACAACCGAGAATTCCTCGCGGAGCCCCCTCCGGACGATCAGCGCTGATCAATCATTGATCAGAGGCCAGTCGGGCATCTTTCTTGGCCCGCAAATCCCCACCTGGTTGCTGGGTTCGACGGGAGCCCTTGTCGAGTCTTGAAAATGCTGCCGTTTCCAAGGCGATTCTCATTCAACTTTTTTTTTCTTGTTCGAAGTGGTGATGCCAGATGGTTCGATCGGTGCCAGGATGAAAAGACAAGGATGGTGAGATGATGCGCAGATGTGAACATGGGAGGCCCAGAGGTCGGGAGTCGGTACGTACCGCACCACGCGGGAAAATTAGCCCCCGGCGTGCCGCTGCTATTTCGGGCAAAATCTTCACCGAATCAAAGACCTGTCGGGACCTCATTGGACCAGCGCACGAGAGTTGTACCTGACAGCGTCTCTCCTCTCATCACTCAAAATCCTTCCCGCGCTTTTCTTTCTTTTTTGAACGAGATTCTCGATCTTGAGCCAACCGCCTTCTCGGATCTGATCTTTGGGGTTGAACAGTATGCTATGTAACCCCAAAACTTTCTCCAAATAGTCGTCAGCAATGAGCGTTCACCACACATTAAGGTAGCTCAGTAAGCCGCGATGCTACGCCTTGATACTCGTGCCGCCCCCTTGCCTTTACTGCTGACATGATCATTCAATTTAGGGATTCTCATTTCTCAAAGAACCATCGTAGCCTGATGTTGCAGAACGTAAGCCAACACAAGGCTATGATTGCCTTCTCGAAGGATTTAGGGATTTCGGTCCTTGATTCCTTTTAGACCTCCGCCGTGGGATGGCTTCACTCCTATTCGACCATGCCCGAAGCCTTGCTGAAGATATCGCAAAAGAACCTTTCAGGTCTAGTCGGCGCAAAGTGTAAGATGACATGTCGAGTAGTCTGTACTATTTGTGTATTTCAACTGCTATTGTAGCCTACCCCTCCTACCTGTCCCTCTTCGTCATTATATCGTGACCAATCATTCAGCATCATTAATATTACCCAAGTCGTCTAGATGGCAACATCTAGATGCTATCCGTGTCATAGTAGGGGTCATCCGGCAAGTAGGGGAACTTGCGAACAACCACATCGCCCTTGTAAGTCCACAGATCAGCCTGCGTAGGCTCGTAGTCGAGCGCACATGTGTCCGTCTCAGCGTTGAAGGTGAAGACATCCGTTGTGGTGCCGTTGGAGTAATTGATGCGGACCATGTTGACCGTCTCCACGTTCGGGCCAATGTCGAAGTAGTTCGCAGGCATCTGTAACAGGTTAAATATGCGCTCGTAATCTCACTCGCTGAAGTTGGCTGGACTTACGAATTGGATTCCGGAGTGAGCCGTAGTGAAGACGGTAGTGGGAAGGTCACCCTGTTAATTAAGTCAGTGCCCGTCTGATGTGGGCGGCTAAAGACATGATGGCTCACAGTATGAGGGACGTGATGCATGCCCAGGTTGAGCCACATCACGAGGTCAGTCTGGTTGAGGCTCTCGCCGTCAAAGAACGCATCAAAGTTGATCGGCGGGTTCTCAGTGTCTTGATTGTTGTATGGGTGACTGCTGCGCGGCTCCGTGTCCTTGCGCTTCGACACCATGATGTCGTTGACTGCCCACTTAGCGGAGTTCTTGAGAATGTTCGAGTCCTTGACGGTCAGATGCGCGGCGCCGGTGTACGGCAGGATGCGATAGGCGCGGTACTCGCCGTGCTTGTTTTTGACGTCCTGGTTGAGCACAAAGAGTTGGTCCTGGTTGTTGTAGCTCCAGTCGAAGCGGCCCTGGTCCTCGTTCTCGATGAACTCGCGCTCCACCTTCATGGTGTTGAACGCCTTGCCCTTGGACCAGGGGTAGACCTGCGTCGTGGGGACCTGGTGCATGCGCTGCACCGTATTGTCGGTGCCAAAGATGTCAAAATCAGCCTTGAAGTTGACCACGTGGTCGTGCATGCTGCCAGACAGCTGGTCGTGGATTTTGAAGCCGTAGCCGTCGTTCTTGGCGTAGAACGCGGCTTGGATGTAGCCGGAGGCACGGACTTCTACGGCAACGCTGCCGTCGAGGAAAAAGCTGTAGCTGAACATGTAATCATAGTTGCCAACGGTTGAGACGGAACGAATGGTGAAGTAGACATTCTTGGTGGCTGTGACGTAGTCCTGAGACGAGTGTCGAGCCATGGGGTAGTCGGCGTCAAACTCAAACAGACAGATGCTGTTCAGGTGCGTGTGAGTGGACTCGGAAACGTAGAACGAGGAGTTGAGATAGGTGGCATATGATGGACAGTCGTATCCCTTGAGCAGTTCGAAGGCAAACGGGCCAAAACCGTAGTATGTGTCAAGGTATGCTACGTGAGACTGGGTGGGATCGCTTCCTTAGGGTTTGTTAGATGACCATCTAGCATGGGAATTCAGGGTGGTGCTTACCGGCATAGTGAGCCAAAGCCTCCTGGAGACCGAGTTCGTACAAGATCCTCTGGCCCTTGTAACGAATGTCATAGAGAGCCATACCGGTGTCTCGATTGAAGCCAACATAGAACGACCAGCCCATCCACTCAACATATTTTCTCTCAGCGTCGACAGAGTATCTGGCGCCTTGGGGAGCAACCGCAGTCGGAGGAGCCATGGTGTCCATAGGAAGAACCTGACCTTGCTGATCTGTAGCCGACCAGTCTCCAGCAAAGTTGCCGCCGAGCTTCTCAACGTTGCCACCCCAGTACGCAGTGCGGAACTCCTCTGTATTCTCGTAGAAGACACCGTTGTAGTACCATCCCTCCAGAATCCACTTGGAAGGGTCGCGGCCGGTGACGTCAGACATGAAGAACAGTCCCATAGGCATCATCGAGCCGACGTCGAAGATGGAGTCGGGGATGCTCCAGAAAGTGTCCCAGCGCTGAATGCGGCCGTCATCCTGGTAGTAGGGATCAATACCCCAGATTTCCAAGGTGTCGTTCTCGAGCCCAAGAGCAGTGGCGTTCCAGAGATCTTTGGTGATGTCGGCGATGCTCTTGCTGACATCGTAGAGCCATTCTTGCATAGCGTCGTCGTCGGCATCCAGGTTTCGCACGCGACCGCTAGTCTTACGCGTGTAAGGGTAGTCCAGTCGCTCCCACTTGGTGGTGCCATTGGTGACCGGCAATGGGCCTACTAGAATGTCTTGATACTCAGGCTCCTCGGTGGCGCGGAAGTCAAGCAAGACGTGGGCATATCGGGCTGGAGCAGGGCCGCTGCCGTCGATGTATGCCAGAGCGTCTGACTTATTTGGCTGCATGAGCTCGACCAAGACACTATGTGTTTTCGTCAGAATGGAGACCGATTTAAAGTCAGGCAGTCTTGAATCAACTTACATTGTGTTATCCCAGGAGGTAGCATTGTCACTCAGAGTGAGGTTCAACTCTCTCTGTGCGAAGAGCCATTCGGTTACACCAGCAGCTTCAGGGCCTGTCAGACCACTCCAAATGTTGTCTTTGGGGGCGTCAATGTCCATCGGATCGTGGACTACGCAGTCAGCTGGCTCACTGCCATTGCTGAACTGACGCTTGTTCATAGACTGGCTGAGAGCTTTCCTGCCATGCCCTTTGGCCCTCTGTTGAGCCCATGATGTCTTGGGAAGGCCATCGACTTGAGGGATCAAATTTGGGCCTAGGAGAAGGAGTGCTCCCAGGCTAAAGGCGCGAGTTGCCGAAGTGAAGCCCATGTTGTCCAAGAACTTGGCGGAGTCTTTAGGGTTCAGGAGGGCGTAGAGATCTTAAGTCCATTCTAACAATGATGACGGATCTGGGTAGCTTTTATGGAAAAGCTGGAAGATAGCTGAGGATCTTGTGGAACCTTAGGCTTTTGGTGATGTTGCACCTGAGTAACTTGACTTAAGGTAGCCAAACCTGGCATTACCCCGACACCGGTGATAGAGTTGTATCGATGGGTAATCTCCAAGTTGTCCATTAGAACATCAACTGACATCAACATTATGATAATCTGCAGCACGCAAGCTAAACCGGTCTCAGTATGTGAATGCGCCACTAAGTATGCGAAGGGAAGTCGGGAGCGAGGCAACCTCGTCCAAACAGCTCGGTCCCAGAGGAATGGACGGCTCTAGAGGGGTTCGCCTTCTCGAGACAGGGTACCTGCTGCGTACCATCGTTGCCGCGATGGCTTCTGGGCGGTATTGAAAGTGTCCTATCACGCCGGGATTGATCTGCATAAGCGAGCGCCGAGAGATAATCAGTCGAGAGCTGCAGAACGTGGCGCCCATGTCGTGACGTTTCGCGAACGAGCTAGGGCAGGGGCCCGATGATATCGCGGGCCGCGGCCTACGGATAAGACTATATGCCGTTCATCCCGTGGGGCTGTATGTAACACAAAGGCGTGACATTGTTTGCTTTCTCCAGTCTTTGGTGTCTTGGCGATTGCTTCAACGTTCGGACGGCGGATCGATGTAGGTCGGCGGGTTCGGTTGACTCGGGCCAACGGCGTCGGGCCCGTACCTTTGGGACTGGGGCAGAGCTCTCGATAACGCCAGTCCAAGTTTGTTAGTCGAATCCGAGATTGTACTGATAGCACAATAAATGTGGACTGAATGGCATATCGATAATCGAAGTTGCCCTCATGGCGGTTGTGTTGTTGAATGGCGATTTCTTATCTCAAAGTCCAGTTATGCGGAGTCAAGGGCAAGGGGTTCCTAGCTCTAAGAGGGGGTTCAGGGATGCATTCGAGGTGGGGTTGACCCGACGTCTGTGAACATCGTGCGGGGGACTTAAGAATCTCGAACTTCGACCTCGCCGGTTTTACACTCAAGACTGTTACCGGGAGTTGGATCGCATTGCCTTTTTAGGGCTTTGGACAGCCTCGAAAAGTATTCTTTCAATACTGATGTGGGGAAGGATAGAAGGTCGTTGAGACGAGCCTCCAGCAGTCATATTCCACTGGTGTTGCGAGCTTATCTCTTGTAGCCGTGTCGGGATCGCCTCCGGCAGGCAAAGCAGGATACTTTTCCCGAATTGAGGATGAAGGCTCCAGTCGCGATGAGGTGCAGATCGACTGACCAGATGGTTGGAGTGAAGTTCTGCCTATGGATAAGCTTAGCTTTGCATTTCTCAAGAAAGTCTGAGCGAACACAAACTTATCAACAAACAGTTGAAGACGACAAACTGCCGTGCGAAGAGACCAGGGTCCTCCGTAGAGCGGCCCCCACTTCCCACTTTCCGCACCGAGATGTTGGCAGATGGATCACTGATAAGCCTGCATGGTCAATAGTCGGATAGCAAACCAAAAGAGCCGGTCTTCTGCAACTTGTGAAAAACAAGCTCCGACTACCATAACGGTGCATCTGAAGCGCGAAGTTCCTAGTGCTGCCGCTCCACATTCAGCGGTCTGACGTATGTAGGCGTGGGGAGTGCTCGATGATTTAGCAACGCAGAACTGGGTAAGTCCTGCTGACCACGTTTGCGCTACTACCAGATTTGGCAGTTTGATAGACCATTTCTGGGGCCTTTGCTATAATCGACTTCGTGCGTAAGCTCCGACTTCGGTGTCAATGGGTGGTCGAGGGGAGATGCAGTGATATGCTAGTATCGGGTATTCCGGCGATTGTAGGCCCACGACAGTGATGGCGAGATAACCATAGCCAACTTCAGGCTCAACTACTGTGATGAGGAGTCGGCATTTCAGTCGATGCCTTCATATTGAAGACTTCCCGCACATTAAGGGGCCCTGTCGGTATTAGTCCAGTACCTTCATTGCTGCTTGGTCCAAAATCTGGAAATCGGCGACTGCCGATTTCGTATACACGTACCGTGTGCATGATTGCCGTGGTCACGATGAATCCGCAGAATAACTCAGCGTCTTCTTACCGGAAGTCTCGGTACACTGCATTTTGATTTTCAAAGATGTACTTTCTTTTTTTGATCTCTTCATCTACCTTGGGAGAAAAGCAGTCCTTATATCTTCAAAGTCCACATTGCCAAGTTGTGACGGGTGATAACCACTCTACATCTGGCAACTGAGATGCGTTTCAGCGGGCGTTTGAGACTATCACATGGGTAGTTTCGGCCAATAGGTGGCTTGATTAACAGAACGGCGGGCGTTTCGCTCCCAAGACCCGAGTTGTGTGCCCGTCAATGTTGAAAGAGAAAGTTTTTCCGGTATCCTCAACACTGGCTGAAGGTGCAGATTGGTGCAGCACATTCCTGATAAGCCTTAAGTGCCTTCGAGGGCTTGATTCTTAGCGTCAAAATGAAGTTGCCTGAAGTTGCCCCGGATGCTTGGGTGCTTGTGGAGAGTGAACCTCTCTTGGGGCCTTGATATTTCAGGTAGCTTAAACGAACGTAGCCCACACCGAGCTATCATGTGATGTTCTTGATGTATTTGCTGACACCCGAAGAAAACTTACTCTTTTGCTTAGGACGACCTCTTGAAGAATGCAGTAGCAATATTTCTTTGCCTTCTTGAGAATGACTCCCATACAAGGCCAAATAGAAACACGATGGTCATCCTCAATCAAGGTAGTCATATGATCTCAGTCCAGGAGAGGGAATCAAGTCAGGCAGCAAGCAAAAACGTGATGTGAATCCCCGACACAGAAGTTGATATCACAAGGTCCGAAATGTACAAAAAGATATGCGTCAATCGCTGACGGGAATTGAGCCCGACGTGGCTGGTGGGAGTTAGTAATGTGTTGGCGTTGTGTGTAGTAGACTGAATATGCTTACGGGTCGAACCCACAACCTTGAGATTAAGAGTCTCACGCTCTACCGATTGAGCTAGCCGGGCAGACGAGTCTGAATTTGGCTGGTTGATGGAAAGGCCGAGGATGGGAGAGATCAAATTTCGAATGTGGAAAATTGGTGGAATTGGTGCGATGGGGACAAAATTTGCATGCCCCGAAGCAAGCTCCACCCGGAGGCTTCGGGTCGGCTCCGACACAAACCCAGTCCGCTTCCGGCACGGAGCCTCGGCAACTCAGTTAGCTCGAAGAATGAGAACAAAAAGCGAAATCACAATCACTTGGTTGGTTACCTGGAAGTTGCATATGAGACCACCTGGAACTTGGTCTCTTATGCAACTTCCCTAGTTACCCGACCAGCTGGAATCACTCGATTTTGCCCTTGAGCACAACACATTCAGTCTCTCTCTAGAGCCGGGGTCAAGAAGACCGGGTTGATGTGTAGAAATTGTGATTTGAAGAAGTCGCAAAGTAATAATAGAATCTCTCAATCTTCCATCAGTGGCTCCATTCCTCCATGTGGCGTGCCAAAGTGCCTGTCAGTATGGTTACTCACGAGTCTCGATACTATTCGTTTCACCTTGATCTCACCTCGGGTTTCTATCCGATGAGTAAATTCCTTCATAGTCCGAGTCTCCATTCTGTGGGATTCTGTGAGAACCAATTGTGCAAACGAGATCGTAGAGCGAGATCTATCGCAGTAATTAGGCTTGGGGTTTAAACCAGTTAATGTGTCTTCCGATTTTGAGATGAGGTCGATGCAAGAATGCTTCATCCTGTGTTAGTTGTTCGAGGCGCCGCCACGACCAGCTTGGCTTTGCTATTTTCTGCTACAAACTATTTCGAGGAGATGTTATTATTAGAGAGCAAATGCAGGCAATGAGTTACACCCGCACTCCAACTCGGTCAATGTTAGCCTTTCCACGACTCAAACGCGAGCGAATGACTCGGGGAATGCTGACCATGATCCTTCCATGCCACCTGCCAACCAACTTGAAATCAAATGCAGCGTGGGAAAACACGTTGCATGTAGTAACAGAGTGTTCAGTGTTGTAAACCTACCTGACAACAGAGGACAATCGCACGGCATTCTTAGACATCACCATCTCTCACACCAGTGCTTAGAATAACTGTCCAATTGCGTCGAGCAACTCTTCCGCAATCCTCCAACGCAATGATGTGCTCTGCCCCTTCGGGCCCCCTCGCGCCCTCGGATTCGCTGAATCCCATGCGTTGTGGGCTGTGTTGCGTTCAAACAGGCTTAGAGCGACCCCGCATGCTGAGCACGTCAGTGTATTTCGGTGGGAAAACTGGGGTTTCCGGGGCATATTATCCTCGGTCTCTTCCGGGTTCCGCATCCCGGGCCGCCGTTGAGTCTCGACAACGAAGTTTTGATGCAAGAGCTCCGCGGCGGTTGAGTTTCTCTTCAAACTTACGCCCTGTCAAACGGAGGAAACCGAGACACAATGCCGAGCCCCAGTCCGGTCGCCGAACCTGAGCGGGCACCGATACCTAGACCCCGGTGCTTGACGTGTAAGCGCCGAAAGGTAATTGAAGCATCCGCATTTTGGCCTCCCCGTTCCCCGCCTCCGCACATGATGGGCAAGCATACTGACAATGGCCAGGTCAAATGCACTGGGGGCCCTGAACCATGTGAGAACTGTCGTCGACTAAGACTTGACTGTACATTCAACTACTCGGAGATCTACCTGTCACCAGAAGTCCCCAATCCTCAAGGACTTTCGGCCCCGACAGACGCTCTGACGGAAGCCGGGACCAAACGTCGGCGCATCGCGGCCGCATGTACGGAGTGCCGTGTTCAAAAGGCGAAGTGCTCCGGTCACCGCCCGCAATGCTTCCATTGCAACCGCAGGAACCTATCATGCGTATATCCATCATCGACATCAAGGCGTAAGAGCAGACATGCCGGCGGACAACAGCAACAGTCTGCTTCTCCAGAATCAAGCAGCACTTTCAGCCAGAGCGCCTCCTATGAGGCAGAGTCTACACTCAATCAGCAGTATGGCGCCGGTAGGGTGTCTCTGAACACTGCCCTAGACCACGCTCTCCTCAGTACAGACGTAATCCGTCAGCATCTCGAGGCGTACTTTGACCACGTCTATCCAATAGGCCACGATTTCTTTCACCGGCCATCCGTAATGGAAGAGTTTTACGCCGGGAAGCTACCGCCCATCCTTTGCACATCAATATGCGCGACTGCAGCAATGTTCGTCTCCCGCTCGCGCGAGTCGCGAGTCCTATCCGTCCAGTGGGCCAAAGAAGTAGACGCCTACATTTTCGGCAACCTCAATGTCTTCAAGGTGCTCAACATCCAACTTCTAATACTCTCCATGTTTCAAAACTTCGCCTACAGGCAGTTCGGCAAGATGTGGCTGCTCATCAGCATGGCCGCGAGGCTAGCAGTCTCATTCCAGCTCAACGACGAGAGACCAACTGCTGAGAATGATACCACCGCCGCGCTTATCAAGCGTGAGTGTGAGCGGCGACTGGTGTGGCATGTGTGGAGTATGGATAAGATGCTCTCGGCGGGTCTGGATGAGTTCACCTCGTTGCCAGATCGGTGGATGAGGACTTCGTTGCCGAACTCGGAGCATGCTTTCCGTCATGGGCTGATGAAGCCAACGGGCAGGCTAAGTGACGGTGTGGAGGCACTTGCATCTCATGAAGCTGGGCCTAATGCCTACTTGATCATGCTATTGCCGCTTCGCTGTGAGATACTGCGGTAGGCATTCAAAGACCTTTCCTTTCTTCAAGGGCAGAATCAATACTGACGCCCACAGGTTGACAAAGAGAATCGTCATAGATAGTCACTCGGACCACTCTCCAGCAGCGGTCTCCAAAGCAGTCACAACCATGAAAGACCTGCGAGACCGTTTACGATTCTTCCTCAAAAACACACCAAAACACCTACAACTGAGCGAACTCAACATGTTCTCCCATTCAACCACATCAGAGTTCTCATCGTACCTCACGCTGAACTCGTGGTACCTCCAGTGCGCCTGTGACCTCTTCCGCGTCGCACTCCCAGCCGCGTACAGAGAGAGCGCATCGCCGAAATTCCTCGCGAGCGCCCCGCCAGATTTCGTATCGGAGTGGCGCGCACTTGCGGTATCCCACGCTCTACGTCAAGCGAGACTGTGGGAGCATCTCCAAAACCTTCGAGCCAAGGGTGCCCTGCAGTCGAAGCAGACGCGTATCCCCCTCCGTCTGGGGTACGGCAGCATGGTCCATCAGTGTACCAAGACGCTCCTCACGGCGCGACGGTGCAAGCTGTATGGTGGCCTCGTCGACCCGATCACCGGCGAGACGGCGGAGCTCAATGACGAGGCAGTGGAGGCTCTGTGCCAGAGCAACATCACCTTGCTGGACGACATGGCCAAGATCGCGCCCATCATCGCGGTACTACAGCAAGACGTCGAAAAGATGGTCGGAGCCGATAAAAACAGAAGACAAAACGACGCAGAGGCACAGGAGCTCGCGCCAGTTAGCAGCGAAGTTCAGCGGAATAACTTGCTGAGCAGGTATCATCCGTTATCTCAGAGCTTCGATAGCAACGCCAAGACTGCGGACGAAGTCGCGCTACAGCACTCCGATCCTCCCCAAACGCCTTCAATCCTCCAGACTTCAGAAACGATGGACATGACGATGACGGACTCTGCCGACATCTACCCGGCCTCTCTAGCCAGTGCGGCTGGTCTCAATGACATTGGCTCCAGTCTGGATGGGCCGCTTACATGGTCCGGTTTTGCAGAAAACCAGCTGGCACCAGATTACTTTGTAGCCCCTTCGCAGTTCGACATGAGTGGTGAGCTAAGCTGGTTTTTGTCGGGATACATGGACCCGGATCCCGCCAGCGTCTGAGGAAGCGCAGGCCTGGAAACAGCAACCTGAGTTGTAACTTGAAGATACTTGTACTTTTCGGATTAGACCTGCACAATAGATGCCATAAGACATATCCAACGACGGAGAAATGTAGCCGGAACAACCACCCTTTCCCGGAACTCAGAAGTCAAGAACTACCTACTGAGCTAGCCTCAAGCTGGCCAGCCTAAGCACGCAAGACGGGGCCAAGATGATGTATAGAAGAACAAGTGGGCCTCCATCGCATCTCGCCGGATCTCGCTCGCACCACCTTGCGGAACATCTGACCCCCTACCAGCGCCACATCCGCCGAGATCCGCTGTCACGAACCATCTGCAAGCAGTTTGCAACTCACTTTCTCCAGACTTTCCATGCTTCCGATGTCTCCACCACAAAGCACTAGTCGCGAATCCCACGTCCCTGGCTTCGGTTTACTATCAGCGTCGTGACATGGCGACATACCACAGATGCTTGTTAGTGTAGCAAAGGCTCGAAAATGTAACCGCCATATAACCCAACTTCCTCCCACCCCGATTTCGAGACTACGATGAACGACGTTGGATCACTGAACCGATTCGAGCTCATTCGATAATCATCATCTATCATGGGCATCAAATCGGTGACACAGCACTTCAACAAGAGGCTCTTCGCCTCCGTGTTCCTCATCGCCGTGTCGCAGTTCAACTATGGCTTCGACAACCAGGCCTTCACCTCTACGCAGGCCATGGATGCCTTTGAAAGGCAGTTTGGCGAGTACGACGACGCGACAAGGCAGTGGAAGATTCCGACATACTTCCTGTCATTGCTCAATAGTCTGAACTACATTGGCTTCGCTGCCGGTGCGTTGATCCCCTAGAGATTTAGAGCTCGGGTGCTGGAGGGCAAGTGGATGATGGCCACTAACATGGTACCTCAGGTCTTGTGATTGGAAGTCTGACTAGTGCACGCTTCGGCCGTCGCACGACTATGATTGTTATGAGCGTCTACGCCCTGATTAGTGCCACGGTCGTGGTCACATCCACGACGAAGGAACAAATTCTCGTAGGCAGAATCCTGAACTGTACGAGGAAACGTAAACCTAGCTACGGAGCAATCATTGACAGGTTCTAGATGTCTACGTTGGATTCGAACTGGCCGTAGTTCCCGTGTATCAGTCGGAGATTGTCCCAGCTCCAGTTCGAGGAATGGTTGTTGGAACGTACCAACTCTCCATTGGCGTACGTACACCTCCATAATACGACCCCCTGTTCCGTTTGGCAATTGCTGATCCCCAGAGTATAGCTTGGTGGCCTTGTCATCAACTCCATCTGCCGCGGAACATCGAGCTTCCAAGACAGTCGTGCCTACAGAATCCCCTTCGGTCTCTTCTACGTTATCCCATCAATCGTACTAGCTTTGATCTGGTTCATTCCAGAGGTAAACATACCCAAAGCTTCGAATCCTTCATCGTTGGCTATCTACACCTCCTAACTCCTTTACTAGTCTCCCCGCTGGCTCCTCCTCCGAGACCGCGTCGAAGAAGCCAGAAAAGCCCACCACCTCCTCCGCGAAGGAACCATGTCCGAAGACGACATTTCCAACGAGTTCGCAAAGATCCAACAATCCCTTCTTGATGAGCCCGAGCAAGGCCGTACAAAGGAGCTCTTCCAGGGCGTGAACCGCAAACGCACCGCCATCGCCGTCGGCATGTCCTTTTTCCAGCAGGCGACGGGCCAGGCGTTCGCGTCGCAGTACGGTGCCGTCTGGGTAAAGTCACTCGGCACGTTGAACCCGTTCGATGTCACGCTGGGGTCGTCGGCACTGACGACGGGGCTGATTATTACGTGTTTGTTCTTGACGGATCGGGTTGGACGACGGTACGACAGCTTACTCTTCACTGATGCTTGATGTGAAACTGACATTCTTTGCAAGCAAAATTCTACTTGTTGGTGCTGCGGTTCAGACAGTTGCACTTTATACGATGGCCGGCCTCGGCGTACCAAGGCCTGTTCCCAACGCCAATAAGTCAGGCATGGTTGGCATGCTCCTCCTATGTAAGAACAATCCACCTTTAACACCGATGATGAGTACCCGTACAGTAACTGACCCTTAACACAGTCGGCGCCGGCTTCGGTCTAGGATGGGGTCCCCTAACCTACGTAGTCGTAACCGAAGTCCCGGCCCTCCGCCTCCGCGACCGATCCCAGCGCGTCTCCTCCCTCGTCAACATCTTCATGAACTTCCTCGTCAACTTCACCCTGCCCTATCTCCTCAACGCACCCTACGCCGCGTTACAGAGCAAAGTCGGCTTCATCTTTGGCAGCATCGCCGTCTGCTCGGCGTTGTTTGTGTTCTTCTGCGTGCCAGAGTGTAAGGGGAGGAGCCTGGAGGAAATCGATCGCATGTTTCACGACGGCGTGCCGGTGAGGCACTTTGGAGACCATCCTAGATCCGAGGTAGAGATCAACACGTCCAAGGTCGTTGATGAGGAGGAGGTTTTTGATAGGCAGCATGCACCAGAGGAGGTCAAGTGAAAGGGTCAGGGCCAGAAGTTGAGAATCAGGGTGGATTGAGATGCCCGCCGGCAGCCCTCGACTCGGCAACTCGAGTCGGTAATCTGTATTGAGGGCGTGCCAAGTACTGCTCGCATGGAAGCAGGCATTTTCGGGTTCAAACCATATATCTTTGCAGCTAACTCAAAGTTTTCCGTTCCCCGGCGATCTGCTTACCATTGTAGAACTGTAGAATATGTGTTCGATCCCACGTGTACCCCCCATGGTGTACCTCACGGCATGTTCTCCCGTGAAAACAACATCAAAGTTTGATAGCGTGTTGTTCACCCTTTGGATGACACAAATCATCCCACATTACTTTCCGTTAAACCTTGCATATTGGATCATCACAAGACCCTACCACCTACCCTTTGGACCGCTTGACTCGTCGTTTAATCAATCTTGTGATTGGGTATTTTTTCGATTGATTAGGATCGAGGCACAACACGGGCCCTCCCGCCCCCTTAACCACACATCTGGCTCGACTGGGCTGTTGTTGTTGGCATTGTGAAGGGCCGGATTGGCTTCGGTTCAGACGGTTTCTGTACCCGCTCTCTGCGAGATTGACGTCTCTGACGATGTAGCTTCGGCTCATACCCCAGCCGAGCAGACATAACTAGTCAGTGTCCTTCAGCGTCAACCTGCCGGTAGGTTGTTACAACGCATTGCCGCTCAACCGCTGCGACTTGGGGGTGAACTTTCTGAATCTGTTGCTGCATTTGCTTCGTTTCGACATGCTCTCGGATGCCCAGCCGATAAGCACGTGCTGTGAAGCTTATACGTCCGAGCCCTTGCACTGCTATGCCCAGTTCTCGGGACTGATTCCGATGTTACCCACACTCCAGCGATCTAAGTCCATGTGGCCATCCTCGTCACGCTCCTTCTCGTCTATTGGTCGCGCAAACTCAGTCAAGAATCGTAACATCCACCGATCCATGCGATAGCTAGTGTTCATGCTCTTGCGACATAGCTCATGGAACGTCTTGAGCCGTGCGAAGCACACCTCCAGTGCTGGCCAGTACGCCCGCAAAGCGACGAGGGTATTAAAATGACGCTCTAGCGTAGCACGGGCATTTGCAATCTCAGCTTCGTCTGTCTCGAACAGCAGGGTGTGGATAAAGATTGAAGATGTGATGACAATGATGTGTCCGAGCATGTTGAACTTGGCGTCACAGCCAGGTGTTGTGTTTGCGAGATCGATGATACGTGACATGGAGATAGCGTTCTCCTTGCATTTGCGCGCGAACATCTGCGCTGTTGGTGAAGTAGGGAAGCGCTGAACTTCATCTAGGTACTGGTAGTACAGTAGTTGACTGTAGTGATAGTGGCCAGTGTGCACGGCAATGAAGATCCGCCCAAGGCCTTGAGAGGCGAAGGCATGAAGGTTACTTGGGGTGTCGCGGAGATTATGGGGTAGGGCCACCTCCCAAGCTTCGAGCTCTTGCGACAATTGAGACACAGTCTCGTCGATGTTGGTCACGTCAACGTCAGATGTGAGACTCTTGATGGCGTCATTGACCCTCATCAGAATGCTGTTCAGCTTGATCATTTGCGCGATCAGTGAGTCTTCACGATTTGGTGAGAGAATGAAGTCAAAGTGGTTGTTGTTTGCCCGGGTCATGTTGAGAAAAGTTGACTCATTCATAGGCAACGGGACATCCATTCGACGGTCCATGAGGCGTGGTAGATTGACACCAGTGGATGACCACACGTCGATCATACAAAGAGACCAATACACTTTAAACGGTCAGTGTCAAAACCGTGGCATAGTTCATAGGGCGGTTTTTCTACCTCTGATGTGGATTTCTCTCTGGAGCGGATCTGGGGTTGGCAGGTTGGGTAGATCGAGATAGTTGGCTATCCTGCAAGCCGCCGAATAGAAGATGGTTTCTGCTCCAGCTTCGCCCTCTACGATGGAGTATGCGCCCAGCAACACGCATGCTTGTGCCGTGGTAAGTGAAACGTCGCGCAAGTTGAGTAGTAGATTTCCCTCATTGGCAAAAAGCTCGCCTCGCGACATGGGTGATATCCCGTTGAATATGGAATTCGACGAGAATCTCGCTGACAGTGCCATCATTCCGTAGACAAGTACCAGAGGGGCGGTTCCCTCGTGTAGATCCAGCATGAAGCTGGGCCTGTGGAAGAGGGAGTGAAGTTGATCGTGGATATACTTGAAGTACAACTCCACAAGCTCGAAGCAGAGCGCCTTGTCTGCAACAGCAGCTGAAGGAGTGATGCCTGGCGGGCTAGCAAGGATGATCTCGGTGACTGTCGGCGTCTTTGGTGTTGTGATAGATATGGGGCTGATGGGAGCCGCCTTGGGCTGAATTATGGTACCGGCCCTCGAGCAGGCAATGTTTTGGGCCGCACAGTAAGTGCACTGGCCGCCACCGATAGGAACCTCGCATTTCCTCCGCCGTGCGCTGTTATGCTGTCAGTAGTGATGACACAGATGCGCCTCAAAGTCGATGAACGAAGGGGTCAGAGAAGACGCCAGCAAGGTTCAGAGGGCAGAGATTCGCAGATTGACTTACCGACACGCCGAGCACGCTGTTGAATATCTCATGGTTGGGTCTGGGGTATTGGCTCTCCGTCTGTAGAACCCGAAATCTGCGTGGACCGCAGTCGATATTTGATGTCCAGTGCCTTCTCGCGAGCTCTCTCATCCGATGATGTCGTTCTCTCGCCTGATCTGACAGGAAGCTGCGCAAAAAGGAACGTCGACGTTCGGCATGAGGCGATCAAATCAAAAAACGGCAAGTCACCTGCCACCTGCTTCCTTCCAAGCGTCTCCTTCCCCCGAGCCACAGCTGCACTGACTGGGCCAGGAAGGCCCACCTTCCCCGCTTTCCCACAATGATTTCCCAGACCCTCAGTGGTTCGGCTAGGTTCAAAGCCCCGCATATATGGGTCTTCTCCGCATCACAAACGTCCGTCTGGGCCTCCCAAATCCTCAGACTAACCCAATTGAGCTAGCTGGACAGTGGACCGTTCGTGGGATTGCGGAGCGACGAGCCGATGATTTTCTGGCCACCTTTTTGAGGTCTCTGGTTTCGTTCTTGTTCTTCAATTTCCCCATCCTCCTGAACCTGAAAGGGGAACAATTCGGTTCAATGCGACTCTCTCCATGCCTCCAATACCGCGCCTGCATAACTCTCCGGCTCGAGGACCCGTGGTTCGTTGGTTCATGTTGATGGAAATGGTCCCAGTGAGTGCAACACTTCCAAACTTGGTCGTGTTTCTCGTCCAATCAACCCCGCTCGCAACCTCAGTCCACCGCGGCATAGTCGAAATGAGGGGGCCATTTTCAAAGCCTGGCTTCATCTCGGTAGTAGGGTGTTTGCTCCGAGCCCTGAAATCATCCTGGTTGTCCGAAATGTCCGCCGATCGTTCCTGCCTGCCAACACTTTATCGGGAGTTTGTGTGCAGTAGCCAGCTGAACCTCGACGTGAAGAGGATCCATTTTTGGCGGAGTATTTCGATGTCTCGCCTTATTTGGGGTAAAGACACTGGATGGGAAGTCTCCGTCGTTTCCGAAGGGCCGATTTCCTTGTGAGTCTTCCCCAGACGGGAGCTCCCGCAACCTACCTGCCACGCGAGGAAGCCCCTAGGAAGCCGCCGTCTTTGCCTGACTCCCTTGAAAGCGACGGATGTCTGGAAGCATCCTCCGGTCGATAAGCCTATCATGAAATGTGTCCTGTTCCTTTGCATATAGCCACGCGCTGGATCTGCGTTTCTCTGAGTCGATGTTCCATGTGAAAGCGCTCATGGTCCCAAGTCTGGCGGCTCCGTGCCACTGTCTCTTACGACGGAATGCCAAACTCTGTCGGTGAAAGAATATTGGTGGATAAAAGGATGGGGCCATGAATCGCCCCTATGCCATCCCGTCATCTTTTTCCTGAATCGTGTATTGATAAACAAGGTTGGTCGGATAGATCGCTGACTTCGGAGCTGACCTGGCTACTGTACACATCGGTCAACCAATCTTCGAGATACCAAAAGAACTTCAACTAACCTGGCGGAAGGAATTTGGCTCAGTATTCATCTTACTCTTCTGCTCGACGATTTCCTAACTGTTCCGGAAGCCAGAGGCATTAGGTTGTGCTCATGGATAAATTTCAACTTCATGCTGAAGGAAATTATCCAACTGAACTACACCATCGCCGGCACTTATCAATGTTGCTCTGTGTTCGTTTTCTTTCTTTTCTTGATACTTCGTCGTAAATGACTGATAGACTTTCTGCACATACGAATGTACTCGGGCCTCAACATTTTCCCTGTTCTTGAGCATAGTTCTTTGCTTCTTTACTTCGTTCCACACTCTGTCATAGGATGGTACCAAACCTCAGCCAGTCTCTTCTTGTACAGCTCCCCTACCACACATGGTTGTCGCAAGCCTCTCGGTGAACATGTGTACTACGGCCGCCGTTTGACCTCCAGAATCTGCAACGATAGCTCAAAATTCAGCCGACAATAGAGCTCAAGACACGTGCCGCCGCCTTGAAACGAAAAAATTTGATCGAATGTTGGTTCTCGAAGCGAGTTTTGGTCTTTTGTTTCTCGTTGGCAGGTCGAGAGTCGTTGATTTCGGATGGTACTGCGTGCAAAACCTCTAGTGAAGAAACCTTTGAGTTCCAGTAGGACCTCCTCTCGATTCGCAAAGCTGGATACTATTCACAAAGAAGTTGAGCTCTCTGACAAATGCGTGAGCAGAAATTCCTATTTCCATCATCCAAAGGGAAGAAGAATGGTTCCAGGAGCAGCGTTATGTAAACCATTTTCAATCCCGAATTCCGCCAGGAACGAGTGGGCGAGAAACAATGTCCGCCAGTCCCGTCAAAGTAAACCCGCTAGTGGCGGGAAACCGCTGCGCGGGACAGCGTGGAGAATGCGGGGAGATCTACGGGATGTGGCACGGCTCTTTCCTTTTGATCGCTACATCCACCAATGCAGGGGTAAAGGCATGACTTCGTGTCAGCACACGCATAAAGATGAAAATGAGAGACATTGGTGTTTGTGTTTCTCCGCTGGAAATTGAAGGAATTGTATATGCATAGTTCTACAAGGCTTCAGAAAACGGACCTGTTCGCCCATTGGTTACCAATCTCTTGTTGACTTTTGTGTGCAGGCGATGGCTAAGGTAGGTGACAAGATAATCAAGGTGTTGTTCATTCAAACCACAACCCGCAACAATTGAACTAACGTAGTTTTTAGCTAAGATAATTACTGCTCAATCCATTTCCGGTTTCTATTCAACGCCGTGAAAAGACCACTATTTAGAAGTCTTGTCTAGTCCTCGAGTAGGATGCATGAGTGGGAATGACTCAAGAACAACTCTTCGATACCCTTGTCTGCCGTATATGGTTACCTGACATTAAGGTTTGTAGTATTTTGCCCTAACATCATCATTTCTATCTGACAGGTGTACATTCCTATGTATTCAAATGAGGCGCAGTCGAAGCAAAGGCGGGCACCTAAGTAAGGCAATTGTTGCTAGAAAGTAGCAACGAAAGCGGGCAACACTACGATACCACGGGCTAAGAGTAAGACATCATCCATTCAAGTGTCAACCCAAACCCTCTTTTTGTGATAGAACCAGTCACAGCAATTTTGTTGCGAAGATGTGTTGCAGAGCAATGTCAACGCGCACACCGACCCTTGCACCTCGCCGTCTCATTACCTAAGTAGGCAATTACGCATAGTCCCTCATCACGACATCGGGAACTTCATTAAGCTTCCCGGTATCCACCTGTCATCCCCGGGCCAAGTGAGATCGCGACGAACTTCGAATCTCGATTAAGTTCCGGGGTTGGGTGAATGCCCGACTCTCACGGTGACTAGCTCTTGTAACATCTGGTATCTCCTCAACTGAATGTCAGTCAATTCGACGCCATGCGTCGCAGATTTGAACAAGTGCCGATAAGTTGAGATCGGGCAATGCCCAAGTTCCAACAAGGGTAAAGCAGTGCTAACCATGAGCCGCGGCTCTTTTTGGCAATGAGATCGTGGCGGCTGTCGTATGACTCTCTACATTACCAGGTCTTCTTTAGCGGCGGTTAAAAGGTGACGTATGAAGAAATGACATGCACCTCCATGGTTAAGAGAGTGCGATCTTCACATGCGCCGTTAAGTATCCGTATAGGCTATAGCTTCGTATCCGTACAGGCTATGCTTCAAGGCCCAGAAATGCTAAAAACTGTACACAAAATTGGCCACTCGGCGGAATAAAGCAAAATGCGCAAGTCAGAATACGCTCGAACGGCGTTCATTTACATCCAAAGCATCGTTAACTAGTCCTTCTAGTGTCCAATTACATCCTAGATAGAGAGCTTCACCATAAGGGTCTAAATGGGCTTGTGGTCTTGAAACTAACAGAATTGCGTGCAGGTTCTTGGCGTCCGATTTCTGCCATTACTTATCCACCTTAAGGTAATCGTTCCAGGCAATCTGGGGGAAAGGGAGAACACATATCCATCGTGTTGCTTTCCGCTTCCAAACCTTAGCCGGTGCTGAATGGAGTACGCTGAGATTATAGGGGTTTTAAAATGCAACCAATCGTACTCGCTGGAGTGGCCGTATCCTATGCACACTCATCATGTCCGTGTAAATAGAGCCGGCTATCTATTCTTAATTCATCTGCCGTAGCGGAGAGGAGTGAACACTGTAAGCGGGCGCCAAAGATGGCGCCCGCTTACACCACAGGATCTAAAGACATACTTCTGAAAGTCCGTGCCGAGATGAGGGGGTGAGCGGGCGACGGCGGAGAAACCCACAACCGCGCGTACGTCGCCTGGAGAACTCCGAGCCGAAATGGTGGCCAAGTCGCTTTCCGGGGACGGATGGTTGGTGCATCCGGTGCCATGGGGAAGAGATTGTAGGTAGAACACCGGAAGTCTCCACCAACCAGAACGCTCCCTGAGGGAAGGGTCGGAAAGTTACGAAGTGCATTGTATGGCTGGCCCTTCGAAGATTCCGTTGGCCATGGGGCGTGGTGTACATCATGAGAATCGCCTTACTATCTGAAAGGGGAGAAATAATGCGCAGTACTGCACATGGCAATCCACGGTTTCGGGTCTGCAGCAAGAGATGAACACGGGCAAAGTTCAAACCTTGGGCGTTGGGGGGTCAACTTGCAAGTTGGTGTTGTTGTTGTTGTCGTCGCACAACTCGCCATCGGCAGTATAGGTAGATGTTCTGCTCAATAGTGTGCGATCCTATGTTTTGGGGCCGTCGAAGAGTAGAGGGTTTCGAAAGTCTGACTCGCCGTAGGGCTCAAACAGCGAGAATTACTCCGGGCTGGTCCGCTTAAGTAACAAAACTCTATGCCCTGCGTGTGTACTAAGTTCAGATATCGCTCGACATTGGTCTTCTGTACGGCTTCTAGAATGACTAGACGCAAATTAAACGAGCAATTTACACGATGTGTGTGCTTGTCTGACTCTCATGTGTACATTCTAGATTCCATACGCTTCCTACTTCATCTCAAATGATCTACCACGAGATTGAAAAATCGTTCATGATTCAAAGGGACACATCGATGGGGCTCAAGATCCAGCACACGGACCGTGACGATCATCATAGCTGTGCATCCACAATAATCCAAACAAGGCAAGTGTCGAGAGCAGAAGCTCTTCCCATCACGCCCAACTACGGCCCGTGGGCAATTAGCATTGCATCCAAACAACAGCCCGCACGGAAGCTTTGTAGACTTCAGGCGTTGCTCCTTTTTCTCGTGAAGTTGTGTACATGATCAAGCTACAGTAGCGTGTGTGAGGTGTTTTGATTAGTCCCCAGAGTCGGCGTTGATTACTCTGTACACATGATCGATGCGTCATTGACGCTTTCACGATGAGTGCAAGCCGTGACGCTTCATTGACTCCTGCATAAATATCAACCACTCCTTTCTCTGCCGTAGCGGCAACCGATCGCATGCAGTGCCGCGACCTAAGTGTATGAGATCTCCCTCCATGATGGTGCTATTGGGAGTTGATTGGCTCACTACTTATGAAAGTGAGATGAGATCTGGTTCGCCATCATCATTTCGGATGACTTGCCCGATGAATTTCACTTTTGAGCAACTGTTGCCAAGTGATTGGCAATGTGAAGATGGGCAACCTTTTCTGTACGCTTGCTTGAGCTTCGTCCAATGCAGCCCGACGGCAGGGGACCCGATCACATTTGAGGCCATCTGAGGCTGGCGGCTGAGATACAGACGACTTCGAACGTAGACCCGATTAGGAAATATTGAGGACCACTTAAAGTTCCGTCGTACCGGGTTTCCTGCAGACTCCGGCCGGCAGCAATCGGCTCGGTATCGGCTCGCATTGGACCCACTTGCGCACTTACACTGAGAGATATTTGGGTTCTGTGAGACTCTCTGAGTTCAGACGTTGCCGTAGGCAAGTGTTCACAACAATACCCGCGCGGAATCGAAGACTAAAGAATTGAATTGTAGTTGTGTGAAGCAGGATCTTTATGTGTGAGCGCCGAATAATCATCTGCCACATATTCTGCCCGTCATTTCTAGTAAGATACCTGCATGCAGGTCCAACTCTCCCAACTTTATCGGGGACAGCTCGGACCATCTTGGCAAAAGCACATCGAGCATTCTCTGCCCCGCCAGTGCCGTGAAACAATGCAGAGAAGCTATGGGCAGAAGATTTCCGAGCAAGTCACAGTCTACCACTGCTAGGCGACTTTTTGTGGATAAAACTTCCGCGCGGAAGGTTCATGCTATTCGCGACATCGAGCGGTTTGGATCCCCGGCGGCAGACTAGCATAGCTCTGCCTGCCGGCGTCACCTACCACATACCCCTCACAAACCTTATCGCATCCATCATCTCTAGCAGGAAGAACTATGTGTGCAATCCTCTCAGTGTTCTCCTTGTCACAAGTGTCGGCGAACCAAGACCTCGGTACCATGCAAATCGGCAACCGCAAAAGTCCCTCAGGCCCTCATCGACATCTACACGGTTTTCTCAGCCCTAGGGAGACGGAAATGACTCGGCCGCGCGTACTGCTCTGGCCCGTGGGGGAACATTGGACGATACGATGTAGACTACGTACGGTTCAGAAGTTTACCGTGGAACACGCGAATGTTCTTCCACCGGGGCCCATTACCTCGAATTTCTGCTCGACACCAGAAGCAGGCCGTCGATCGTTGACGGCCGTCCTGTACACCACCACCATCCCACAGATGGCTCTGCTTCAAGCCTACCTACCCTAATCGTGGGTAGCTCGTACCAAGGGTACCTGTCCAGGTTTCCCGGTCTTTCGGTTTGTTTACACGCACCGAGACTCACGCACATGCACTCTCACATACTCTCATACATCCCTCGAGACGTCGGCCAAGGCTCCAGCTGCTTCCATTGCTACTACGCCCTGAATCCTCTTATCTGAATCACGTTTTCAGACTTTCCAACTAGCAATTGTCCCTTGCCCACCAATGTGACCCACAGCCTTACCCTATATCAGCAGAGTTGCGCTCCATGCCGGGCAGCCGGGACGTTTACCCACCACTGAGAGCTACCTGGCGTTCTAGTCGCGTTTATCAACTCTAATCCTGTTTGAAAGACCGTTAAAGTTTCCGTAGGCACAAGGAGGAGACGCGCTAGTGTACTGCCCTGAGTCGACCCGAGAACTAATTGACACCTATCCCGCCGTACTCAAAAACTAGTAGCCCCGCCGCCAATTGTCTTGGCTATACGTTTACCGGTCTTACCTACCCAGCTGAACTCTTGAAGACTCAACTCCCATTGACTTGGCATTTCGGACAACCACCACTCTATATCAACGCAATCATGACAAACATGAACACAGCCCCAAACTCAGCGCATCGCATCGACGTCAACACCCGGAGGCTACGAAACTCTTGTGATTTTTGTACTCGATCAAAGCTGAAATGCGATCAATCAAAACCGGCATGTCATCGTTGTCTCCGCCGTGGGCGAGATTGCGTCTATAGCCGGGTACGAAAAGCCGGCCGGCCACCCAAAGTTCCAAATAAGAGACATAACGCCGTCGGCCCAATGTGGGAACACCCAGCAGACCACAACAGAATGGACTTTCTCCCGTGCACGCCCAGCCCGAGTGATGCTTCTTTCGGCAGCATTAGCAGCAGAAGCATCAGCAGTCGTATCGGCAGCATCGACTGCATGGCAGACACGTCGGTAACCGATTTTTCTGACAGCAGAACTTCGACCCCGTCAACTGGCGAAAACATGGAGGCAAAGCTTCTCGACTATTTTGACGGCGTGCCATCTAACTGGAACAACCGTCCCGGATGCTTACCCGCGCCTCAAGATCTTGACTGGTTGCTACCTGACAGTTTCGACATCAACAGCCCCCTTTACGACACAAACTTTCCCATGGAAGACCTCCTCGTTCTGGAAATGCCTAGCCCCACGTTCACTTCATCATGCTTCTCAATGGAGCAATCATCACCTTCTCAGTCAATGCACCAGTACATGGGCATCTCAACACCGGACTCACTACCGGACTTTGGAATGTCTTATCCAAATCACACCCCAGGAACCGAACAAACAACGTTAAGCCCAGTATCAACACCATATATGAGCCGAGGAAACGAGACACACCAGCGACTACCTATCCCAATGAGCATCCCAGAACACACATCTCATTCCGCAAAAGTCAAAGACTGCACCTGCTTCTCTCTCATCTGCCAATTACAGGAGTCAGTGTACCACCACACGCAACTTTCAAGTGAGATGGACTCATCAGTGCCGCTCGGCATCCTGCTCGACATTGAGAGCTCAATACACCAGACTGAAGAAACCATCCAACACTGCCAGGACTGTAAACCGCGATCATCTCACTTCATGATGATGCTATGCCCCGTCATCGACTGGGTCGTCGATAGTCTAGGCAAGGTTCTCCTCCGCGGAGTTGCTCCCGGCAGCGCATCACCGCCATACGAGCAACCAACCAAAAGTGCGCCGCAGGTCGGCGACTCGGGTCTAAGCGGCGGTAACGGCGAGATCCCAAACCTGTGTATTTACGAGTTACTCAAGGGCCGACTTCGGAGACTTGGGCGGATACTCAATGGGATAGGTGGCGAAACACAGAAGGATCCGGCCGATGAGTCTGTATATTTGGATTCAGACTGTTTGGTGAGTGCAATGGGGACCATGGGGCAGGAGATCCGCACAAAGTTGGAATACCACCTCCGATTAGTGGAGTTATGGTTGTCTTGATGTAGCACGATTGAGAAAACAATGACAAACTAGCATTACTACTTACTCATCACGCGTAGTGAAACAAGGCGAGGTCAAGTCCTAGTCGCCCGTGACTGCTATAGGTGCATGCTGACTGCTTACGAAAAGCACACTCCGAGATCTAGCCAAGTGAAGTAGTTTAGACTTTGTCAACGGATAAAGTCATAGAGTGTACCGTAGAGATTGGAAAGCTAACATCATGCTCTCGTTCTCGGCATTTTGCTTCCGCTACAGGCAAAACAGCGGCAAAATAAGTGAATACGCGTGTTCGATCCTCAAAAAGCTTCATTGGTGCATTTCTAAAGAAAACCTACAGTCTGCAATCAAGCTTCCCGCACAATATCATGATCATACTCCGGGTTAACCCAATCCGGCTCTCCGGCCTTTGCTCTAAGTGCGCCTCCAAACCTATGCAATAGACCCAGCGCCGGTATGCAAAAAAAGATGGTAATGATACCGTGTCCTGCAAACGTCCAAGTGTAACCCACACTCGTCACCCAAGGCGCGATGAAGAACGGATCGATGAAGGCGCTGAAGTTGAGGAGCACCGCGTAAAAGGTAATCACAGCCATGCTCTGAAGCGGATACGCGTCAACAATGTACGAGCAGATAGCCGTGTTGCCCATTTGAATTCCCGCGCCGACTGTGATTGGACAGCAAGGTCAGTATATACTTTTGAGGCTTTCGCTTCTTGAAAAAGGTAGTTGGTTCAACATACATAGAGCAAAGGCAACCTGTCCGACCATCCAGTGGTATGCCTTATCGATACTCACACCCCAGATGACGAGGCCGATGGAGGTGAGAAGAGCCGCGGGATAAGCCAGCCACAGACGCATCTCGGCTGTTTTGACGCCTCCATTGCGCTTTGCGAGCTTTATCACAAGCCAGTCGCTCAACTGTCCGGAGAAGAAAATTTCCGAGATCAAGGTTCCCACAATCAACCCGATAAAGAAGAGTCTGTGACGTCTGTTGTTAGCTTACATTGCCCTAATTAGGATGTTTTCACTTTATGTCACATACCCCTGGACTTGCGGCGAATAGTCAATGTAGGCCACGGGAATCATCGTGATGACCGACAGCACCCACCAATACCACCCGAAGCAGTACACTCCCGTTGCGATGGGCACCACAGAGAACTTGAACAACTTCCCGAAGCGCACAATCGACGCCCATGGCTTGGGATGCTTCATTGCCGGCACGGGCTTCACATTCAAGAACCCCAACTTCTTGGTCCTCGTAACATTCACTGCCTCTGGCGCTGCCACCGATCCCACAGCCTTCTCGTCTACGGAGCCGTTCGTGCCACCAGACACGACACCTTTGGTCTTGGACAGCATATAGTCCCTCGGATATAGCGTCTCGGGCAAGAAAGCAAGCTCCGCGACGAGGATGACGGCAAAGAAGATGGCCGTCATCCACTGGATCCAGTAGTGGTCAATCAAATCCACGAACCCACCAATCAGCGGGCCTGCAAGGAGACCTAAGTCGATGGCTAGAACCCAGAGGCCGACCTTTTGTCCGCGCTCGTGCTCGAAGAACATATCGTTGATGATGGCGAGGCCAACCGTCGCAGCGGGACTGACGCCAAGCCCCTGAAAGAGGCGAGCCGCCATGTAACCCCCGTACGAAGGGGCCTTTGCGGCGCCAATGGTCGCGGCGAAGGCGACAATGGTGCCTGCGATGAAGATGGGCCGGCGGCCGATGATGTCTGCGGGGGAGGACCATAGCAAGGGGCCGATGGCGAGGCCGAGAGCCGGGATGGCGACGGTCCAGTTGACCATTTCGAGAGTGAGGGAGTATTGCTCCTGTAGCTCGGGGAAAGAGGGAACCGTTGTGGTCGTGATGTAGGTGAACATGAAGTATCTGTGTTTGAACCATGTCAGTCTCAATGTTCGCCGCGGAGCTGTGTGAGACTAGACGTACAATGCCATCACGATGGCGAGGATCGTGTTCTTCTGAAAGACGGACCAATTGAGGGGATCCATGGCGTCGCCCGCGACGGGCTGAGGATGTACGCTGAAGCCATCTTTGGTCAATGTGACCTCCTGTGTCGTCTTGCCGATGCCGTTCTCCTCGAGTCGTGGTGATGAGCCAATCTTCTCCTTCTCATTCACCGAGTCGGCCATTGTGAATTGCAGACTTGTAGTCTTCCGTGATGGCTCGATGTTGTGGCGCAAGCAAATGATCCAAGTGGCTTGGAATTGAAGGTTATTAGAACAATGAAAAACACTAGGGGTATCGTTAGAAAGACAAAAACAACCTCCAAACCCACAGTGATTCAGAGCATTCTTCCATCGACGCGATGATGGGACGGACCTGCGCATATGTATATCAAAAAACCCTGCACCACCACCCTCCCCTATCTATAAAAGTCAATGATCAATCGACTATCCGCATCCTTGTAGCCTTGTTTGCACCATATTCCACTACAGACATCGAACCAGGACTCCGGGAGACAAGCTTTCGGATGGGCACAAATCTAGCAGCAGCATCAAACCACCATAACAAACCCCCTGCCATCGAGGACCTTCCCCCCAAAAGTAGTGTTAGTCAATGCCATTGAATAATTCCTCCTTTGAATCTCATTGGTCGATTTCTGGTTTGCTGCCCTGGCATGTACTGCAATTGAGCATCTCTGCCCGGTAAGTGGTCGTAGAACGTCAAAAGATAAGGCCGCGGGGTGGAGAAAGAGGGAAGGGGGCTTCGGAGGCACGGGAGTGTGCCGGGGCGAGGGGAGGACCCGCCAAGAGATAAGGAAGAATGCAACGGCAGCTCTTCAAGTCCTTATCTCCTCCCTCTCAAGCAGCAAACCCTCTCCCTCCTTTCTCCCATCCCAACTCCCCACGCTTCGCCAAAACTGGCATTACCGCTGAAGATGACGCTTCCTAGTCAGATTTCTGCCATCCGACTGATAAGATGCCGCGTCCCAAGATGCTGGAACTGACGTTTCTTGTCTCGATACAGAAAGTCTGTCGCACGACGTGCAGCAACCTACTTCATGTTTTTTTGCGGGGAATCTTCACTACGTCTCGCGTGGCGGTCCGGGTCTAAGATTTGTGTCGCTCAAGGCCTTATTGCCGGGTCTCATGATGACTTCATTGCTTTAATTCTTCAGCTTTTAATCGTAAGAAATGCCGGCGATGCGAGATCAGGCAGCGAGTGAGCGATTAATCGACGAATTTACACATCTCATCTTGCGACTGCTTTAGGGCTTATCTTGGCGCGGGCGAGCCTTCGTTTCGTCGTGGCATGGTAGATCTCATTTCGGCGCCGAGACCGACCCTTCTCTAGGAAATACAAGCCCGGCACTCGAGCCATCTTCATTTCTAAGCGAGCGCGACTCTCTGTGTGAGGCCGGGGTAGGCAGGCCGCTCACTGCCTCCCTTGGCGGAACTAGGGATAGCCAGACTCGCTGAGCTCAAGCTCATTTGCACTTGTATTGTAATCGAACTTGGGCCTTGTGAGTCTCAAAGTTATATCATCAATGTGCAACGTAGGCAAGAATATGGGTCAAAGTCTATCAAAGTCTGCCGTGCCTGGTGTGAGTTGAGTCGACCATTCGGCAATGACTGGGCTAAGATGAAGCGTGTCTGGGCAATATCGATGATTAAAAACCATGCAACATCTTCATGCTGGCCGATAAGCGAAATCGTTCAAAGGAGCCAATGGCGACTGCAGGTCGGACTATTGCCAGGCATTATCATCCTACGCCACATTATTAAGACCTGCAGGGGAGTGATGCGGCGCATGATACGGAGTAGAATGGTGTGGCTATGTGGTTATGTCCGACATCTTATAACAAGCTAAGTATATCATTTACACATCCCTTTGAATCCAGAAAACCACTACAACCAACACTTCTCCCGTAAAGTTCGTCGGCAATGTGATAAGTCTCTACTCCATGGACCTACCTCACGGGATCGAGAATTCGAGGCACGCAACCAGCGCTCTACTCACTTCAATCGAACTTCACTTTGGCCCTTCGATTGGTTGGCTAATATACTATAGTGTTGAAGGTTACTCTGGCTGTCAGCGCTGCCTGGTTGTTTGTGTTGATCGAGTAAAGTGCTGGCTGGAATCCTGTCACTCTTCAATCAGTCAAGAACCTTGATATGGTAGATTCATGAGGTCCACGAGATGCGAAGTGTACGTCATCTGACCAATATCCTTTGAGTGAGAATCTCTGTGAATGCTGTCGTCTACCAATATTTCCACTCTGCCAAAGTATCCCATCCAGGGGCGCAACGAGACGCCCAACGCAAGCTTGGGCTCAGAAATAGGAATCTGCTTGTTGTCACCTTCACTTGGGAAGGATGCAGGCTGAGCACTTTGTTGATCGATAAATCGATACCAAAGACCTCCCGGCACAGAACACCTGGCCTTCAGCTTCTGATGTAGTTCACAGTTTCCACATGATTATTGAGAAGGAAGACCGCGCTGTCCGCTCATTCATGAGAAAATGTTGCATGGCCTGCATTGCGAATTATGATCTTTTCCGTGGGTTTTGATATGTTTTTTTACTTGGGAGATACTGCAGTACAACTGACACAATGAGAGAAATTAAGTAGAATATAGTATAGGTGTCGGATTGGAAGTCCAATTCGACCTCGCGGCAGCGGAGGGGCCACCCATCGATCGTATAATCGATTATCGCGGCCTACCCAACCTGCGGTTGGAATCTCCTTTTTACACCTAAGCAGCAGAATCATATAGTCAATTGGCCTACTTCGTCAACCCACGGTTCGAACCAGACCACCAACATCCCTGTGATAGGGATACCAACAATAGGGCATCGCTCGATTCTCCCAGGTAAGGGACCATTGAGGGGTAGCAGCATCAATACTCACACAAGACGGGCTATTGTTCCGTAGTAATTCAGCGTCATAGATGGCGCTGCGACGACATTGGACTGTGAGCACTGAAATGCGAGTCAACGTCAGCCTGGGAATGAGATCGAAAGTGAATGGTTATTGCTTCAGGACTAAACCTGAGCGGTAGTTCATATATGCATAAGGTACAATTACCCAACACTCAACAACCCGGCGAAATGTATCCAAATCAGGAGAGCACACCAAACCTCCCAACTCTCACAAATCACCGACTTGCAAACTCCTTAATCAAGTCTTCGGGTGACCTGGCGCCCACAGACCATCTATCAAGCACGTTCCAGCCCCAAGGGGGGGAACCCGAAAGGGAACGGAAAGGGAAACAAAGTTCGGACGAGACATGGATTGAGAAAAACAGCCATCGTTTCCAACATAGTGTTCACCTGATACAGGATCCTCGATGCTCTAAATGACGAGGGAACAGGCACTGAGCTGCCAGAAGAGGAATCCCTCTCCACTCCTGAGAGAAAGCCCCACAGATCTGCCGGGCTGATTACTCGCCTCTCCGGCTTGTCCATGTCTTCTGGGGTGATTAGTAACACAATTAAGGCGAATTAAACTGCATTCAGAAGAGAGTCGGAGCGCAATCACAATACCGACAATGGAAACTCTTCATCGCTATTCAAGCATACAGCAAATCCAGTCACATAGGCCAGAGGAAAATTAAGTGAAGTGTATAAGCAGGACCATTCTAGTCCGCCCTTTCCATTCGTCTAGTATACTCCGGCACGGCCGTACGTAGCTAGGTAGTAAAGGTAGAAGTCTTTTTGTCCAAGATCCACGTCGGTGTTGTACACGAAAACCAACAAGTGTCGTTATAGTATATACAAGTGAAAAAGTCCAACAAAGCAATCATGTCTTCATGAGCCTAGTGGGTTTGAGCTACCCCCTTCGCCAAAGCAGCTCAGGGTTCGCTCGAAGTGAGTCCTCTCCTCTCGCTCTCAATTGAGACGCGGGATTTAAACGCGGCGGACGACGTCACGAGCGTGCTGGCGAGCCATGCGGCGGGCCAGGCTGCGCTTGCGCTTCTCGGCGCAGGAGGGCTTGCCAGTGGCGGCAGGCTGCTGGGCAGAGGCGGAGCTGGAGGCAGGGGCGGAGGTAGCGACGGCCTCAGCGGCAGCAGTGGTGGTGGCAGCGGCAGCAGAGGTGACAGCAGGGGCGGTGGAAGAAGCAGCAGCGGCAGAGGTGGCGGCGGGAGCGGTGGCGGAGGGAGCGGCGGAGGAAGCAGAGCCGGAGCCAGAGCCAGAGCCAGAGCCACCGAAGACGGAGGGGAGGGCAGGGCCAGGGATAGAGTAGCTGGTCAGGGAGTTGTAGATGGAGATGAGGATACCGGCGTCGTCGGCCTTGTAGAGGGCCTCACCCTTGGTACCAGCGGGAAGGTCAGAGCCGGAGCCGGTAACCTCAATGTTAAGGCACTGGGGGTAGTTCTGGGCACCGTTCTCCTGACCGGCGGAGTGAAGGGCAATGATCTCGTGGCGGAGAACGTAGTTGCCGGGCTTCAGGGAAGTGGGGATGGTGACAGCCCATGAGTTGTTGGCAGCAATGAGCTCATCGGAAGCCCACTTGTTGGCAGAGGCGTCAACGAGACCGGCCTCAGCGATCTTGAAGAACTCGAGGGAGGTCTTGTCGACGGTAGAGCAGTCAGTGCCGCAAGAGGCGAGGTAGTCGATAACGGGACCCTTGTGGGACTCGGGCCAGGTGTTCCAGAAGATCTGGAGCTTGTCACCAGCGGCGACCTTTGCGGTGAGCTTGGCGTTCTCGGAGTTCTTGTGGCAGATGATGTCGGCAGCGGCGTAGGAGGAGGGGTCGACGAAACCGTTGTCAGTGGCGGTGTTCTTCCAGCCGTAGCTACAATATTGTCAATATCAAAGTTGCTTTGAATCAGATGGTGTCCTGCTTACACGTCGGGGGGGTTGCTCATGTAAGGGAGCGAGGTGACGTCGTAACCGGCGAACTGCTCAGAGCCATCGGTGAAGTAGTTGACGTGACCGTGGGCCATGACAGAGGCGGCGCCGGCAATGGCGGAAAGGACAGCGGAGTTCTTGAAGGAAGGCATTTTTGCAGATTTTCCAAAAGTGTTGAGTTTGGTGTTGTTGGATGTAGTTTTCGTTCGTGGAAAGAGTGGATATTGACTTCAAGTCGTAAAGATAGTGAACTTCAATCAATGAAGTGTTCAAATGAAAGAAATGTGCTGAAAAGCGGAAAAGAGTGTGGGAATGGAAAGCTGCGGGAATGAGCCTGTTGGATGAGGAGAAAGAGAGTAAGAGTAGACGATGTGAATGAAGAGGAGGGGACCTTATATCTCGAGATAGCCCAGAGTAGCGCTCATGGTCGTGGGTCGTGGCGCATACCTGCGTCGCGTGGATGCAAGCAATTTCGACCACGCCCATCAGGAGACAGTATCGATTCTCATCCCATGTAAGCCATGCTAGGACCACTGCGGCCCCGTCTCCGTCCCTCACGGAGTAGAGCCAGGGGTGATGTCCAAGGAGTCCCTGTGCAAATCCATGGCCAGGCGGTGTCCAGGTTACGTTGGCCAGGCACAAGTTGATTGCGAACGGGTTGTGAATGTGATCAAGTGGAATCGTAAGGCGGGGGGGTTCGACGTTGAAGCAGGAGGCGCCCACCCTGCATCGAAAAGGAAGGGGGCCGTGGGGCCGGCGTCTACCCCCCGTTGTTATCCCGGGATCTAGAACCGCAAGCAGAAGCCGAAGCGAGGCCATCGCGGCTGGAAACGTGCCCATAGGTGGAAAGGCGGGAAACAAGCGGGGGCGGTGGCCACGCCGAGCAGCCATGGCGAGATCAAGCCGTTTCAGCATAAATGAAGGTGGTGACTTGTTGTATCCCGCAGTGCAGGGTTGGAGCAAGATGACCTAGTGCACGTTGGCCGCTGGCGGCGCGGTAAACAGATCTGAGGCGCCAAAGCGGCACAGTTATGGCGGGCATCTTGTTGCTCGCTTGTCGAGAGTGGTAAGATCTGTCTGTTGGTTCTAAGGTGGCATATGAGCGACATCGAAAATCATAGTAGCATCCTGTTGTGAAGATCTGTGAATGATCGATCCACCCAAGGTTAAGCTTAGGAACCGGCAAGCCTTCTTGGGATTGACAGAGGCATTAAATCGTGGGTTAGCATGTTAGTTCGGAGTCAGTGAGCCGAAGCGCACTTACGCCCACATCATATTGGGCCAGTCAGCAAAGGTTAAGCCAAGCTTGCAGTAAGCATAAGTGGCAGTGAGGAGAAGAAATGAGATTGAGGGTGACGGGATGGCAGTTCGTCTGAGCGTTGGAAAGGGGAGGTGGGTGGTCAGTGCTGGCTTGTCGAGTTTGCTTCTGCCGCTGATACTGGCAGCAGGGCAGTGCTTGGCTGGCAACAGCGAGTGACCCTCGGCTGACTGGCTTACTGGGCATATGCAGGCCAGGTCTGGACGAGTTCCAGTGTGAGCCGATACCCGATTGACTGGAGACTTGGAGATTGAAGCCCGGGAGGGATGACGAGTCGAAGCGGGTAAAGAAGCAAACTGGGGTGGATAGCGGTGGAGGAAACGGGTTGGCACGTCTGTGATGAGGCGAGGAGGGATGCAGGCCGTAATTCTTAGGGCTTGACGCCTTGTTGATGGATGATCCAGCATATCCAGCTGTTCACAACAAGCAAGCATGGCAGGCTTGGCGATGCTTGGTACTCATCTCAAGTCCTCAATCCAATGTCTGGTTTCCCACTTGAAGTCCGACTTGGAATCTTGGACGACGGAGCCGAACTGTGAACATCGTCAAGCCCCCTGATATCTGTTCTCGAAGCAGCGGATCTGTTCGTGGAGCCTGGCTGGCCTCGAGCTCGATTTGGGAGCTGATCAACCTCGATACGGATTTGTATGCAAGCTTCGTATCAATAACGGGCAACAGGCCATTTGCCCCCGTAGCCATTGCCTTTCTGGTTCGAACTTCCCAGGGCTCAGTGGAACTGCCGGTGGGCGTTTGTGTGAGCGGTGAGAATCTCGACGATGAAAATGGTGGAAAAGCCGAGAATCGAAATGAACAGGTAGAAAGGAAAGGGTCAACTGCCGCCAAGTTTCGACAGCGCAGGTCTGGATGACAGGGAGAGTCTGGGACTCTTGGTGGTGAACGCATGTCGTTGGGCTTCGGGACAGCAATCTATTTGCGACTTTGTGAAAGGTCTCGATCTGTGCTCGACGGGGTTCAGGCAAGTAAAAATTCTGTCTTTTTGGTGTGTGCCTGCAGTGCAGCTCAGGACTCCGTGTGGTGTCATCAAGGGGTGATGCTGGCCATGCAGCCATGCTATGCTCATTGCCGCTGGTCGATGAACTCGGTCTGGTCAGGGGTGCAGCCGGAAGAGGATTCTGATTTCTTGGTGATCGTCGCCTCCTGGTTCCCGCAGGGTGCAGCCGCAACTCTGTGCCTGGACCAAAACCCTCTTTTTTCCCATTCTCGACTTTTCTTGGGACTCCCACTGCTGACTCATCTGGATCCCAAGGGACTTCTGAACTCGACGAGAAGGAGTGGCCAATAGTGTTGCAGGGCTCCTCCTCTTTTGGTCCGTCATGTCCGCAGAGGCTCCAGGGGCAGGCAGGAGGCAGGCCGAGGTGCCTTGCCTTAGGTAGTTGCGTGAAAGCATGACTGCATGAGCTCCTGCCGCTGAGCGCAAGTTCGGATGGCCCTACCAGGGCTCATCTCTCCCGCGTCTCTTCTGAGAAAGAGCCATTGATGATTGAGGAAGTTCCTTCCTGCCAGCAAACAAATCGTTGCTTGTCGAAATCACTGATAGCCATCCATGCGCCTTCCGGGAGACCCAAATTCGCGCGGCCTGAAACTGCAACCTCCACTTCCACCTCCTTCCACTCCACGTTCTCGTTGGTACGTACCGCCACAGGGATAGAGCTAGATGGATCCATGGATCTCGGTCAGTGGATTCCCCTCCTCGATGGATCCACCCATCATCAATTCTTGGCAGCCATGGGCCAAAAATGTCCCTTTCTTCCTTCCTTTTCTCCTCTATTCAATTTATTTTGATTGTTCCTTCCAAGTGTCCTGCACGGCATCGCCAGCTTCTGCCTTCCGAGCCCCTCGCTTGACTTGGCCCGTGCTTCTTGCCTATTCCCAATTTTTCGAGCATTTTGCCAATTCTTTCCCAATTCTCCTCCGATAGGACGGATATTGGATCGAAAAAGGAGGTACTTCCCTGTCTCACCTCTTCCTGCTAATCTGTTCAAAGTGCAAATGGATCAATATCTCCGTGCTCCCATGTCTCGTCCCGTGCTGTTTATCCGATGACGTTATGCTTCCATCAATGTTCTTTCCCCCCTCCAGGCTCCGTCCCTCCCACCTACCGTGACTTTTGGGGGCCCCTGCCGGCCACTTACCGACACCGTCCCACCCGACGCGTCTCTTACGTAGGCAGCTTTTTTGGGTAGAAGCTTCCACACAGGGATAGAACCACTTCCTTCAGACACTTTAGAGAGGCGCCGTAATTGTTACCATCTAGCAAACATCGTCCCACTCAGAGACCTCTTCCGTCCACTTCACCGGAGCCGTGTCCGTCTCCGTATTCCGCAACATTCTTGAAAATGCGCCCAAGAAAGCCACTGCCGCCGCGCCCACCCCGTTGGGTGAGGCTGACGCGAACCGCGTCGTGGGCCAAAACACGGCCGCAAAGGTACGCAATCGCGCAGATATCTCGACACTCTTGAAAGAACATGTGCCTCATTGTGCCGTCTCATGATTATTGTCTGTCACGAGTCGGATGCCAGTATTCTCTTTTCTATCGCCTTTAGAAGCCAACGCCGTGACACAGCTCCCAAAGCTGACAATGTGACACGTCCAGCCCGCCGAGAAGCTGGCCCCAAAGTCCCGCAAGCGCAAGTCGGACGCCGCTGCCGACGGTGATGGTGACACCGCCGCCGCTGCGCCCGCTCCCAGGAAGCAGGCAACCAAAAAGGCTGCTGACAAGAAGGATCCTCTTCCGGACCTCTCTGAAATCCAGCTCCCGGGTGACGGTGAGATGAAAGTCCCCGTCTTCGACACCTGCGACATAGTCCGCACCAAGATCCGCGCCATCCTTCAAAAAGAAGGCGTCACAAAGGCAGCCTTCCTACGCGCCATCGTCAAGGCCGCGTACCCCGCTGGATCAGACCACAAGATTGCTCCCAACTTGCTCACCAATTTCATGAACAAGAAGGGACCCGCGTCTGGCAACACCAGCAGTGTGTTTTATGCGGCCTATGTCTTTTTTGAGAAGCTTCGTGTGAGGGATGGCAAACCTAAAACCAAGAAGAGAGAGGAGATGGAGAACGAGTGGCCTAATGGCATGGACACCGATCAGCAGTTGGACGGTTGGGTTACTTGCCTTGCTGGTGAGAGGCCTCATATTGACAAGTATGGCAAGACTCGCTTCCATTAGCCACAAGAGGCTATGTGAATTACGTTTCTGGCTATTTGGTGCTTTTTGCCCCTTCGTTTAAGCATGTTTTGTTAGGAATATCGGGGACACAGTTTGAGCTGGTGCGAATTATGACACTCTTTTTAGGACAAATATTCCCATTGCGTGCTGGTCTACCTTCTAACGTGCCCAAAGACTGCCCGAGAATATCGCCAACATCTCGCCCGTACGAATTCAGGCCAATAATAGGCGGCTAGAAAGATGACTCGAGTATCTAGACCCAAGCGGAAGGGGCGGCCACTTTACCGATATATCTGTGACGGGGGTGGGTCAGGGATGCCGGGCCACCGGCACGGACGAGTCATCGGTACCCTACGGAGTACCTCGGCTTCCCCCGACCACGAACAACATTGCCATTCACAAACGCCCTGGCCGCTCCCATCCTGGCCCGGCTCAGGGCTAATGTTGGGATGCTCCAGTCAACCAGTCCAGCATTCCGTTCCATCTCTCGCTCGCGGCCGGCTGGGCACACTCTGCCCGTTACTTGACACAAAGCTTGGCCACCCCCGTAGGCGCCTTCACCCCTGACCCGCCCTGGACAACGACCTGCTCGGTCTTCTTCCACGGCGCCTGGCCACCTGTTGGCCTGGCTGTTTTGTTTCCGCTTGCATTCGACAGGCTGTAGACCGCCCCGGTCAGGAATGATCGGAAAAATCGGAACAGATGCTTGCCGCCCTTCATCAATGAAAAGCAAGCCATTGATTCCGCGTCAGCGACTATTGTTTCAACGATAGAGACTCGCCCACAAGGACGCACGACGTCCGTGAAATCATGACGATATGGCAGCGTAGTGGTCCATTGAATCATACATTTGGTTTGCCATAGTGACTGGGAAAGGAAATCGGCTCGTAACATGGAGCCTTCCGTCTTCTACGCTTCGAGTGGATATTCTGAAGGTGTGGTCTGGAATCTTGCTTCTGATAGATAAGTCTTCGTGAACACCACAACCTGCTACATGCGGCAAGGATATGGCAGCATATCGCGTTCCGCGGGAGAGCAAGCTGAGACTTATCGGTATAGTCAAGGTCACTTTTCCGCAATAATTGAATTTTCACCAGATAGCCCAGGTATTTAGTTAAGTATGCGACTTTCATGCGGTGCG